ACTCGGACCAGCTGATTGACCACGGGAAGACTGACCAGGCTGTACTGAAGTGCCTGCTGTCTGACTGATACCAGGAGGCAACAATGGTGCTGCAATGCCGCTCGCAATTTCCAAGTTCTCCGGCGGTGCCATAGTGGTTTGCACCGTAGTACTTGGGATAGTTTGCACCATTGTCCCTAAGTACACGCTACTGGGAATTTGCTTGTTCAGAAATGCATCCCAGTCCACATTCTGATTCACCTTCCAGTTCACAGGATTCTCACTCCACGACACAGCACCGACGGGCAGCGTAGGAACTCCAAAACTCACACCTTGTGCCGTCTCACAGCTCCCCATTACGCCAGGGGTGCGTAACCCCTCGTAAAGCGTAACCTTTTCGCGAACAGGCCCCACGGGGGCGGCATCTCCCTCCGCGGCACCTGCATCCTCCGCGCCCGAGGCCATCGGCAACGGCGACCGACTCCGAACGGTCGAGGGCGGCATAGCCGGCCGAACGACAAGGCTGGACGTTGCCTCGGACATCCTGCGGTCCAGCGCCTCGATGGCGCGCTTGATGCCGCCGAGCTCGCCGGCCATGGAGGCCGTTTCTCGAGCATGGTTCGCAGCCATGCTTTCCACTCGTTCGGAAACCGTCTCTTGGGCGTTTTGCTGCGCTTGAACGGCGGCGCCGAGGTCGCCCAACACTCGCGCCGCTTGGCGCAAGCTTTCGTTCGCAATCGAAGCCTCCTCGGAGGCCTTTCCCATAGCATTGGCCAGCGCCTCCAACCGCGCATCGTGGCCTCCTTTCTCCGATTCCAATGCCACCAGCCGTTCGCGTACCTCTGAAACATCCTCCTGAGTCCTTGCGACCCGTCCGCCGTCGATCGCGCCCGCCAGCTGCACCTCATCCGCCAACTTCTGGTTGGCCTCCGAAAAGTGCGCCTCCGTTTCCGCGAGCCTCTTCCCCATCTGCTCCATTCTACGGTCCATCTCCGTGCCGATCGACTCTTCCGCTCGAAGCCAATCTCCTCGAACAGCAGCTTGCAATCTCCCGAGCTCATTCGCTTGCATTTCAACTCTTTGCCTCACACCTTCCAGCCCGGCGCCGATCACCAAAATGGCTCCCTCGTGGGACGCCATTCTGCCGTGCATTCCTTCCTGCAAGGCGCGCAGCTCGCGGCCTTGCTGCAACTGCTGCGCGGCCGATTGATTCGCCGCCAGCTCGAGCTGCTGCCCGAGCGACTCGCCCATGCCGCGGAGGGCAGCATTCTGCTGCTGCCCGGCCGAATTGCTCCATTCCGCGACCGCAAAAAGGGTCGCTCTCCTCGCAGCAGCCGCGGCCACAGCCCCCACGTGGCGCAGCAATAGCTGCTCCGGTCGATTGTCTTCCTCGCCGCGCTGCAAAGCCGTCACTCCTCCACCGTTTCCATTCAGCTCCAGGGGGGTCGGCCCGCCTCGATAGGGCACCAATTGCCCGGCCGATTCGTCCCCCGGATTCCCAGTCTCCTGGCGAGGATCCCCACTCGCCATTCCGGCCGTCGGCCGGTGTGTTCTCGCCGCTCGAACGCTGAGCTCCGAAACCAATGATGCAGGGAGCTTCGTTGCTCCCGCGGGCGCACAGGTCGGATGAAACGGGGAGTCGGAATCCCCGGGCGGTTACTACATTTGTACATTATACAAGATTGTCTTTAATTGCTCCGTTCATTGTCCCATGTCCTTTGTAACCACCCCAGGGCCAGTTTACCCAACTCAGACCCATTTAGGGTAATCAAATGCATCTAATTCATCTACAAAAGCAACCGTATCAAAAGCAACCGTATCAGGCGTAATCCGGGGCAGTCGATTCGGTGGTCGCACGGTGGGCCCAACGCTCGACGGGGATCGATCCCCTGGGTCTGCTGTTGGTGACAGGTGACGGCACAGCAAGGCAGTGGTTCGCTGGCTCACGGGAGTCTAGAGAGTGGGCCAGAACGGTTACATGGATTCACAGCATGCGCGTGCACATATCGCATGCGCGATGCCCGATCGTGGGTCGATCGAAGTCTCATCAAGACAAGACAAGACAAGTGCGCGTCCAGGCACATTATCACCATCCACCATTCACCTACAATCGAACCATTGTCCTCTAATTCCAAGCATCTAACACCCGACCCCCTGCCCCTAAGTACTACGACTTTAGAAGGCCATATCTTCGCCATTTCTTGACGGAATCAGGCGTTTAGAAATGCGTTGGAACCAAGAAGCTCTAAATAACACTCTCAAAAGGTACATTTCCCCAATTATATAATTCTCACTCCAGAAAACGCCAATAACTGCCTAACCCCAAGTAAACACGTCACAATTCGGGCATGGGGAGGATTCATAAGCTTTGCGGAGGGGCAGCTTGGAGCAGCCAACAACCGCTAGAAGGCCAAGGACGAGTTGGCAAGGCTGGTCCAGGGAACAAGCGTAGAAGACTATACAAGGAAGTTCATGGATCTTAAGACCCGTATAAAAGGCATCAACGACAATGAGTGCCTAGATAGATACAAACGGGGACTGAAGGCAGTTGTACGTTTGGATGTTGAGAGAGCCAACCCACAGAAATTGCAACAAGCAATGACACACGTGCTCAGGGCTGACGACATCCTATTCCAGGTACACGCGGCATCAAGAAGCTAACCCCTAGGACTGACTCCACTGCAGCTTCCTCGACCTGTACTATGAGGTGGAACATCTCCAATGGAAGTGGACAATCTGCAAAGAGCAAGGCCCGCTAGAGTACAATGCCACCGATGCAGAGGATACAAGTACATTGCAAGGGATAGTGCAACAAAGCCAAGGCTAGGGGAGCGCGCCACAGCCAGCCAAGATGTCAGACGCCACGGCGCGACTAACATAGAGAGTCACCAAGACCGGCCAGGAGATAAGCAAACCTAATGCGGCAACACCTTGGAGGCACGGGTAGGCACCAACAAACTACCCTACTACTTCGCGAAGCTGGAAGGTCGTATTGTCCGAGCTCTAGTGGAATTTGGAGTTACGGGTAACTTTGTAGCGAAGGGTATACTACTAGAAGGGTGCGAGCAAAGGTGTTGCATGACGGCCAATGACTTAGACGTCACGCTAGTGGACGGGACCAAGGTTGAGATTGTTGTGAGACGTCACGGGTTGAAGCTCGTCATGGGAAGCTGCGAGATGACCAGAGCAGCGGTGGAAATGCCATTGGGAACCTTCGACTTAATACTGGGACTACCGTGGCTGGAAAATGTGGAGCCTGAGATCGACTGGATCACCCCCGAGATGACTATAGGGCAGGACAACATACGGTCAGTGACAGCAGCAACATTATACTAAACAACGCAACCGAAGGCTCGACCCAAGTTACCTACCAGTCCGGGAACCGACTAAGGGAGCTGCAAGAAACAAGGTCCTTGCATCAACTGTGAATCCGCAGCGAGCCTGGAGTACACGAGTTGTGGAGAAGAAGAAGATTGTGGCGAGCTGTGCACGCTTACAATGACGGACAAGCCACGAGGATGGACATCTGACAACTGGGGCGTCAGTCCGCCCAAACCGAATGACACGGGAAGCAAGGAGTGGTACTCCAAAGCAGTTGTAGAGGGGACCGAGGAGGGAGACAATATTTGTGGCCGTCAATCACTTCAAACAAACAACATTAAGAAGCTGGAGAACCACACTCCTAGCCAGGGTGTATTTGACGATTCTAATACCTTGACTACCTATTGCACCAACTGCGGAAGTGAAGCAAGAAAGATTGTAGAGACGGGCCAAGGCCTTGACGACTTTGACGCTGTGGTGGCTATGAGAGAAGAAAAAGAAGAACCGCCTCCTCCCGTGACCACAATAACCATGAAGAATGAGGAGTTGGCTGTCACCAAGGGGCTGCGAGGGTGCGATGAATACGAGAACCAGCTGGAGTCGAGCCGAGCCCAAGCTGTCATGATGAATGCGCCGGACGACTCGAGGAAACGTCGTGCAAGAAAAAGGTTAAGGTGGGACGTTACGCTATTGAAGCGACGGATTAAACCGGCAAGGGTGGACACGTCAATATGGGGTCAAGACATCAGCCATGGGCTTGCCACGCCTGACCCGTCAGACCAAGCGGCAAGGACATAAAACGGAGCGGGAGTGACTGCCGCACCTCCCCATGGTGGCGCCCGACAATGAGGGGCGGAGCTCTGGGCCCGCGCCTTATTTGTAGGCTTGATGGGGGCCTTATTCACCGTGCTAATGTTTACCGCCATCACGCCCCACCGCTCGACGCCCACCCTGGCGCCCCAACACCGGACAGCCACGATGACCCCGCAAGCCTATGGACCTGTGGAGTGGTGCAGTTGGGCAGAGGTGTACGCGGACATCCGGCGGAGGAACGCGCAAGATGAGCAGGTCGCCCAACTCTGGAGATGGCGCATGGCCAGCAACATAATCCACCGAAGGCGGCAAGACAACCCAGTCCGGTGGAGCAAGGATGAGGGATCCTTGGACCAAGTCGGGACCGCAACAGAGACGGTAGCACGGGCGACAGGCTACAAACGCCTCCACGGAGGGGAGTGTTGGCTACGAACAAGTGAAATCAAACGCCTTCGGCGAGTCAAGGACACCGGGAGCGGAGTCGAGAGGACGCGCAAAGGAGGTGGGCCAAATGACGACCAAGTGCGGGGCGACTCCCGAACTGAGAAGGCCCTCACGGACCCCTACCGCTGGTTGAATGACAACCCATGGACCGGCGTCAAGCAGCCATGGTGGGACGGGGACTGGACGCGGCAGCTACCGGTCCACAATGACGAGAACCACGATGGGACGACTACATCCGACGGAGTCGTCAAACCAGCCGGAGCCTACAGGCTGCATTTCGAACCAACTGGCTGCATGCATGGCAGGGAGAGAAGCGAACCGAAATTAATTAAATGACAACTGTAGTGCACCACCTCCCCAGACGCCAAGTTGCAGGAAACAATCCCTTTGAGTCCATTACAGCACAGCCACCTCCCCGCACGCCAAGCACTCACGCCTCATATCTACAATCCCCGTATGACCTGCCTGCCAGCCAGCAGAGCAGCTGCAGCGACGACTCCCACCGTCCCGGCAACAGCTGCGGACCTGGGACCCCTGGTGGAGCGATATAGGGCCCCAGTTGTAAAACCTGCAAACAAGCGCAGACAAATGTGTTGGAAATCCACCAGCACAAATATGACACGTTGCACTAACAGCAATCCATGCCAGCTGAATAACCCAACGCCTGCCACAGCCACCACTGCCAATAGCTGTGACTTGTGATCTGCCAGGGGCCTGGGGTGGCCAACTGCTCTTCATTGAGATTGGGCATTCATTCTCATGTGTTCGATCTTCTGGGCTCCCCATCGCCTCTGGCACTCTCTAAATCAACACCTCTGAGCAGCTGTGCTAATCACTGCTGCATGAGGATCAAAAAGGTTAGTTCTGTATGGGACAAGATGCCAATGCATTATGCCTGGGTCGTTTTCAAACTAGAACATAGGACAATCACAAGATAATGAGAGCTGTAAACAGTTACTCTGAATAGGCAGAAGAATACCTGCCGCCAAGGTCGCAAATGCATCTGGCACATAACCCTCGATGTAATGCCCAATTAAACTCTCCGAAGCAGCAAAAAAAAGGCCAAGCACACCAAAGGCATTTCCAGATGCTTTGCCTGCGCGACCTGCCATGACAACATGATGAGCATTCAGTGCCTTACCCTTCAGTTGGCCCATTATGGCCAAGAGACAGAGCCCATAATCGCCTTGAAGGCACAATTCAGAGCTTTGTCACTTCTATGCGAGCTTAGTTGTTACAACGCAGAGTAACATATCCTTATTCTGTTGCAGCATGTGCGGGAGATGTGTCCACAGTTGAGAGCTTGTATTGCTGCAGGGAAATTGAACAAGGGAAATGCCAGGGAAAGATGCGCACAGCGCAGTCTATACAGTGAACAGAGGGATCAGCAGGGCTGATTCATGCACTACAGTGTGTTTGGGCCTCTCGGTTGCATACAACACCATTGGCTGTTCCCTGCAACTAAGGACAGTGCATGGATGGGACAGACAAAAAGCAACACATCACAGCAGTTGAACCCATCTCAGACATACCGAGCTCCTTCCAGCGCCACAGTATCAAATGCCGCTGTGCTCTGGGGCACAAAACGCTGAAAGCCTAAACTATCAGTGCTGCCACTCAATACTAACCTGGGGGCAGAGACAGAGCGCATGGCAATAGTGCACCATCAATGTATTCAATTTTAAACAGGTAACACCATGAAAGAACCCACCTGTCATGTTCAGAAACCGATTGATCTTCACTCGGTTGCTGTCTATCATGACATCTGACTGCTTTGTTGCCAACTGGGTGCAGCCATATGCACCCCCTGCAATGGCACCTGTTGGTACATGCACAGAAATGTTTGTGCAGACAATGTTGGCCCCAGTCAGGGCTGAGACTCCTGATTCTGGACAATGGCTAGAATCCGATCAATAGAAACCCATCGTCTTCACTCCTGTGTTTCTAGTAACCAGCCGCAACAATTCAACAACAGGAACCCATGGCACTGGTATTGGGTGATGTGTAAACATTGAGCAAATGTTGCTGATTAGGATCATGGGGAAAAAGAGCAGCTGTTTGCAACATTGCTGCTGCGCTTTTGTTGCCAGCTAGATTATACTTGTTTCAGAAGTGACAACCATAGGGTCAAAGGTCCGGCGGACCCAACATGCTGCACAAAATCAACTGTAATCCAAGAGGTGCCAAACCCACCTCCCAGATAGCCAACACCAGCGTAGTAGCACAGGTTCTCACTCCAGCTACGCCGGCGCTGCCTCGCATCGTCAACGAAAAGAAACTCAGGCTCTTCTGGTAGCCTGAACTGCACACCCGGCTGCGATCCTGTGGGAAGGGCATTCAAGCCTTCAGCACAGAAAGCATTCGAGTGTTTACAAAGGTCAGACGCCCATGCTTTGCAGATTCCACGACGACGTCAACAGAATGTTGTTTCTACACTTGCGCCAGAGAGTGTGCAGAATGGCAAGAAGTCCAAAGCAGACATGCAGGCACAACCAGACCACCCAAAGGCTCCACTGTACAGGGCGATCATGGACCAAATGCTTCGATAATGTCTTTAGACAGTTCCAAATCGAACTGTGTGGTGCAGAATCTGTTGAACTTGTCACAGCATTGATAAAGGTTTTCTGTGCCCGTCATGACCCGTAAGGTGCCAGGTTTCCCTCATAACAATTTTACAACTGTGACGTCCACGGAATACCCAACGCAGTGGCCCCTCCAGAAGAATCGCTGACAAGGTTCCATCGTGCGCCATCCGGCTTGTCATGCATCGCAGGCCAATGGCCACACACTCTCAGCTTGTGCTGCCAGCTTGGGTGGAAAACCTTACGCGTTTCAGGAGCTGAGTCTCTAACTGTGGACAAGTCGACTCCTATTGGCACGCAATCCAGACCCTATCCCTCCCAAGAGTGATACTCGATGTAGGCTGAACCTCAGTAACAAGCCTGTCCAATGGACACCACACTGTGACTGACTGTGCCACCTTCCCTTGTATCTTCTACTCTGCACGTGGGCTCCCCGCTACAGCGCCCTTTTCAGAAACCGCAAAAGCGGGGAAACTGCGCCACTTGCACCCAATGGACTTCCCAGCCAACCACAGCAGCACAACCAAACACACAAAGATTAGCGATCTGAACCCCCCACCCCCCCACCCCCCATCCCCTTCCCTCCTTGAGTGCCGCACTTGTGTTCTTTGAGAATGAGCAACAGCTTAGATGCAGACACCATTGGTTGCTTTACATGCCTCGCACTCTGTCAGGCGGCACAAGGCTCGCATATCTTGTGCTACGACAGTGGTGGTACCTGGACACCGACCCAAAAGAGAACGCAAAAACGCGCGGCACAAAACACGGCCCTCGTCGCACGCTCATCGATCGCTGCAGACAATCCAAGCTAGCGAGAGCTTGGTGTGCCGCACAACCTCGACGCACTGCGTCTTGCGACGCAAATTTGTTGACGACATCAAGCAGAACAGAGAACACGGCTCCGCTTTGCATGCCCACCAATCTCTGCAGACAGGCCAAGCCAGCGGGAGCTTGGCGTGTGCCGCAATCCGTTGCAGAATCTTGACGGATTGCGTCTTGCAACAAACCTCTTTTGTCAGGACATCAAGCAAAACATAAAACACGGCCCCCATTCCCACGCTCACCGATCGCGGCGGACAGGCCCTCGTAGGGATCGTAGAACCTCGGCTGGGATCCACCGCGATGGATGGATCCTGGCCCAGAGTGCGGCAGGCCGTCCGGCTCCTCGCTCAGGAGCTCCGACGATGATGCGCCCGCGTCGCTGGAGGTTGACTCCTTGGCGGCGGGCGGGGAGGGGCGGAAGCTATCCAGGAGGCCCATCTCTGGCGGAAGGCTGGGGTGGGCGGCCGGGAGGGGGAGCTGGGTGTGCGGCCAGGCAGCTCGACTCTCGCTTGGCGGGCGCGGGTTGTGCGCCGTTCAAGGCGTGGGCACGTGCGCTTTTTTTAGTTTTTCTTTGCATTGTTTTAAAAACAATCTAATCTAATTGATGCGAAAAGCCACGTTGATTCGGTAGAATCATTTAAAATTATCCCACAAGTGACTTGCGGTAAAGGAAGTTTCAGAATGGACAGCATGAGAAAGGAGGATGTCGGGGAGTCGTGCCCCGTTGCCAAGCTTGCAAAAGAAGTGATTTCAGCTTGCGAAGAAAACGCAGTGGATTTCGTGCCTTTTTGCAGTGCAAAGCAGAAGTCTTTCGTCCAACATTTTGAGTCCCTTCGCCCAAGACTACTCTCCGGTCAGTGAGCTGGCGCAGTAGTTTCCTATTCTAAACTACTGAGCACGCTGATGAGCGCTTGCAGTCAGCAAAATTTGTTACTGGCGTCAACGGTCATCCAGCGAGCGATTTGCTTCCTTGCTCAATAAAGAACTTGCGGCGGCAACTACGCCATAAGTATCATATGATGGGCGTGAAAATGGGCGCGGACATGTCGCTCTAAAACAACGTGAAATTGCGTGGATTGTGTTTATCCACAGCCTTGTGGTAGCAAAAGGACCCTCCAGGCAACATGGTTCCGATTCTTGACTGCAGAGAAATTCTGCTTCGTACTGTGAAAAAATTGCGTTGCAAAGCACACTGCGCCAAGGATCTGCACCGGATAGCACAACGCACCAATTTCTCATGAGAAGTGGCACATCCTTGGCAGTGATCACTGGCTTGCCCGAGCTTTTGAACCTGAATCCCAGAATGTCACGAACAAACCAGGGTGACATGACTATGGTTTCTTATCTACCAGGGGCCCAAAGGTTCGAACTTCTCTTCTTCGGGACTGAGCCTGCAAGGAGATACAAACGCTTTTGGGGTTTTGGATTGCTTTACACTTTGTGTTGGAGTAAAAAACTCCAGCAGTTGTGCACACTGATGTGTGCTTTGCCATCATTGCCTATGTATCTTGCCCATGTGCCCTGCGGGCTGTTCTGCGCATACATGTGTGGCAAAGAATATCTACAGGTATTCTTCGTGCGGATGGCTACCTGTGGTCCATGTCATAGGATTGTTCATAAACCCATACTCAGAAGATTGTCGTAGCATTAGGGACATATCATGGCAGGATGGACAGCAATTGCAGTGCTCTACATGATTTTGATATATTCTGTAGGTGCATTTCAGGGTGGACGCACAGGTATCACATCCATGCAGGTGCTGTGTATCGATGTGGTTCCCAACCACCAGCCACTGTCGGTCAGCCCTCGCATTGCCCAGTGCGACTCAAACACACAACTAATGCATCGCTTTCGCTATCCATTTTGAATAATGTGTGCTAACCTCTGTTGTACGCTATTTTCATAAGGAAAAGGAGTTGCAACTGGATACATTTACCTCGTGTTCTGCATTTGGAGAAGACAGTCATCTCAGTAATTTTGTGTCTAGATGGAGGCGTCCAGTGCATCGCATTTTCCTTGCTATTGTTTATATCTGCTGTAGGTTGCCAATGAACACAGTCTTCAATTCGCCACAGTTCTGTCCGGAAATTGTTTGGGCAGCAATCGAATTTCTTTAAATTAGCTGCTCACAATAACAAAAGGGTAAGACACAAGAGAATTCTAAGCATTTTGCAATTCACATTGTGGGATAACAAACTGTTGAATTGGTCACCAACTATTTCCAAAAAGTATGCGTTGCCACCAGCAACCTGGTTGAGTAAAGGACATCAGCATACAAGAACATCAGCACTGCAAAGCAAGGTGCTCCATTAATTGGCATTCCAAAAGTTCTTTACACAACAACACCATTGTTCAAGCCCTACAGTCACAGACGCATGAATATCTTTGGTCTGGCCTAATAGTAGTGATTGTAGTCGATATAGCTTTGCCTATTGGTAAATCGGGTGGATGGGTACATCCTGCCCACATGTGCATCATTTGATGATATCCCAATAGCAATGATACCTGTTTGCACGTTCAAAAAAGTGCAACCACTGGAGCTGGAGGACTTCCACTGATTCTGAACTTCCTCATCCAAAATTTCTGGATTCATCAACCCAGCTTCTATTCTGTCCTGCAGTCCCCAGGCAGGGATCCGCAACCAAAATAGAAAAAGAAAAGGCAAAATAATAACCTCTGCGACATCACAACAAGCAGGCTCCGAAACTACGCCAAAACATGCACCGGCCACTGCACATGCTGCTTTCCCCTTTCCGGCATTCTCTGTTCCTTTCCCTTTTCCTCCCTTTCTCCAAAGCCTCCCAAAACATCGGAAAAGCGAACAGAAACAGCCACCGCATTGTTAGCCGGACATCACCGTTTTCAGCACACCTGCCCCGGCTTGTTTCCAAAAGCGCGCGTTCCCTGGGGCCCGCCCTGCCTCCTCACCTCCCCGGCCCCTTGGCCAGCTGCGCGTCCGCCGCCCTCCAGTCCGCCGGCCACCCCAGCTGCCTCGCCAGCGACCCCGACCGCCCCCGCAGCCACTCGTGCCCATCTCCAATGCCCTCCTCCCCCCATCCCTTGCCAAATCCCATCGGCGACACATTCTCCTTCCCAAGATACCGCCTCCTGGGAAGATCCCCCTTGCGCCGGCTAGCCTTATTGCCCCTTTGGCTGCCCTCACCGCGGTTGGCCTTGGAGCTGGATCCCATAACACCGTCTGCGGCGCTGTCCACGGACGTGATATAGGCGCTCACCGCCAATCTCCGCCTTGGGGGCGTCTGCGGCTCGAGTTCTTGCTCGGGTTGGACGTCGGTTGTGGGTGTCGCCACCGGGTCAGTGACTGTGTTGACCTCGGGTTGTTCGACATTCTCAACGGCCTGCGGTTTGGCATCGAGGTGGTCAGGTGGATTTTCGACTGGGCACGGCGTGGAGGCTTGCCTTAAAGAAAGGAACGAGTTTCAAATAGAGGTGGTACTGAGGTACGTCGCAAAAGAAAGGAACGAGCTGTCGAATGGACATGGCGCGGAGGCTTGTCTTGAAAGACGGGTTGTGGCGCGGCGGAGCTGATCGGAAAGTCGCGGATGTCGTGCAGCGTTCCGTGGGGACGCGGGCCAGAGGTCTGACTTGGTGGGCATTCGCCATCAACGGAAAATTCTGAACAGATCGCGCCACTCGCTCGAGAGGCGGCCAGCGCAGGCTGGAAAGAAACTGACGCCGGCTGCTGCGCGGAGCGCACCTGGGCGCCCGGCATATGCACTTCAACATCGCCTGCAACTGCCCACTGGCGTCACGTGTGCTTTGCCAGCATGGGCACAGCCACGGGTGGCTTCAGGCAGCGCATCACAAGCAGCGCCGAGGGGAATATCAGGCAAGGTGTCCAAGCAGCTCCCTTGGTTCCCAAAACCCCATTCTCCCACCTCAAGTCCCCTATCCCCCAGATTCCATTCCCCAGACCCCCACTGTCCTTACACCCGCCGCTTGCATGTGTGCAGCACCATTTGTGTGTGTGTTGCAGCGATCACAGCGCGGACCAATAAAAGTGGGAAGCAACCAAACCTCCCCAAGCCACCCTGGGCACCGCGCATTCCCAACTCGGCGATCACAAGAAAATAAGATCCCCTCCTCGGTCCCCTGATGCCACGGCAGCGGCCCCTCCAGCAAGATGCCAGGGCAAAGCCCCGTTGCCCGTGCCTGTTTCAGCGGCCGGAGCGCGGCCAACGACGGTGTGGAGCAAGCAAAAACCTCCCCAACCCCAAATGCACCGTTTGCATTTGTTGCGTGCTCATCTTTTCGCATCGGAGGCTCCATATCATTTTTTCACAGCACGGAAAAGAGCCTCGTGGTCACTTCCTCAGGAGGGGGTGCCCTTTGTGTGACCTTTTTCTTTTTCTCTTTGTAACAGTCTTACCCCGAGGCACGGTGAAGTACCACATCGACGCATTAAACCCCATCGTCGGAAAAAAAACGGCATCGCGCACCTGGCCCTCGGGTTCAGGCTCCACCCGCCCGCTGCCAAGCCCCAGCGGCCGCGTCCCCGCGGGCCTCAGCTTGGCCCGCGAAGACGCCGTGTGCTGCATGAATCTTGGCGGCAATCCCGGCAGCCGTGGCCCTCTGCGCGCTCTTGGCATGGGCCCCGCAGGCAAATCCTCAACCCCGACATCATCACAGCCCCAGCGCCAACGGGCGGATCGCGTGGGCCGCATGTACCCTGGCTGAATGCCGCGATCGACGTCCTGGCGCGACATTTGCTCATCGAGGGATCCGAGAGCTCCGGGGACTGGGGTGGACTTGATCGCTACCCGCGCGAGCGCTGAGAAGGGAGAGAAAGAGAATGCGCCTGGCGGTGGGCCAAGCGGTGGGGAACGCGGGATCTAAGCGCGGGGGGCAAGGGGGCAAGTGGAGCAAAGCATGGAGCGGAATTGGGCGGGTGCCAGAAACGCCAGTGGCTGGAGGGGACTTGTTCAACTGGGGGCCCGCTGCGCTGTCGCGCTTTCGAATTTGAACGGGCTTGAGGAGGGTCTCTTTGAAGCGAAATTTACGAAATGTAATGCCGTGAATAGGTTTAAATCGGGAACAGGGCCGTTGGGTGGGAACCTTTGAACGGCCAGCAAAGGTTTTAGTACTGGGCGCACTTGGATTTAGAATGGATGGCGCTGCCGGTTCTCAAGCTTGGAAAGCAGTGGCTCAGTGAGCAAGAGTTTGGCGCAACTCTTAAAGTTGTGGTCAAGTTATGGGCAGCGCCTGGGCGAACGGGTCGCGGTTGGTTATAAAGCCCAGGAACCGAACTGAGCTGCAGTTTGCACCAGTGGAAAAACTGGTTCACAGTGATCTGGGCAAACGGGGAACTTGGGACTTAAGGTTGGCGAAACGAGTTTGTGGCTATCTCGTTTTTCGCTCCCGCCCACCTCTACCCAAGATATTTGGCTTGATTTTAATGTAAGGAGAGACATTTGGCAAACCGGTGTGAGGGCTTTCAAGAGTGCCTGGAAAAGAGTGTGTCTGAACATTTTAGTTGCTGAGACTGGGTCCAGCGCCCTGAGTGCGCCAACCCGTCCCGATTGATAAACTGGAATAGGTAAAGTATCGTTACAAACGGGTGGGCAAGGCCCCCCGAGATTTAATTCGGGTGAATTTCTTCGGGTGTTTTGTGCGGCAGGAGGCCTGGGATGGCAGCGCCGCGGTGGCGAGCTCAGATTGGCCAAACTGGACGTGCCACACTGTTGCGATGCATTGAGCATTTCGGCGGGATGTTGGTCTGTGCACGTTTTGCGTTGAGCGGGATGATCTTGCCCTGTGCAGCAGAAAATTGGACAATGGCAGTGGCCACTCGAACAATTCGAGTTACTAAACTGCGAGGTGTGGCAACCATACCACTCCAGCCGCATTGCAATGCGGGCTTATGACAGGCCAATAGACAGTGTTGTCAAACTGTAGTTTTCACGGTGTCCCTCAGTAAAGGATGGCCACCGTCGCTTTCAAATGGCCACGACAGTGCTTCACGTTTGGTCGATGCTTCGTGAAGCAAGTCAAGGCGCCTAGCACGTGCTTCATTTAGATATAAAGAAGATCTTGGTTCTTCCGAGCATAATTTGGCACAAATAGTTTGGGGCAGGAGATGGCAAGACATGCTAAAGGGCGGCAGCGGCAGTGGCTCACCTGGAACAGAGAGGCTGCAGGCCAACTTTGAGAAAATTGGCAAAGGCACCTGACTTTGAAAAACCCGACACACCTGCTTGAAACTATTGCCGTGGCTCGCCTTGATGGCCGACGATTGGGCAATGTTGCCTTGCCTCCAGTTCTACTGCAATTGGATGGAATACAGTGTCCATTACATGATAGGTTCTTTAAGTGCTGTGCTTCGAATGCTGACCCACTAAACGCTGTGAGGCCAACCCCACAGCTGATAGTGGCAGCTGCCAGTCCACAAGACATTCGGCTCATCACCAGCGCCCACCCGCGCCTTCCTAATGAGGATTTCATGAAGTGAACGTTGATCACATCAGCGCAAAGTCCAATGATCATGACTGGCTGCAATTTTAATCAATTATTGGCGGATCCGTAGGGAATTGTCTTTGTGTCAATTGCGAGCAATGAGGCAGCAATTGACAACATATCTGGTTCCAGCTCTTCTCCTACAGCTGCAGGCACTCCATGGTCGATGCCGGGCGACAAGAGAATCTGCGACACTTTGCAGAACGCGGAAGAACAAACACCCCGAAAACCGTGGCTTGCATTTCAAGTGATGCAGAGGTCATTCATACATTACTTGAAGTATTGATAATATCAGGGCGAGAGGTGGCAGCCAATACCCTGACTGAGGCGTCGCTGCACGAAGGCGACAAGGGGGCAGAAGCAAAGGTGAAACAGTAGGCATTGCTGTGACCGAACATATTTGAGCGGCAACGCCAACCACCATCGTGGTCACAACAGTAAAGGAGAAAATGGGTGTCATCGTCAGGACGAGATCGACAGGTGGACACAGACAACTTGCAATTTCAGTAACGCAGTGATGTGGCTAGTGTCACTTCTGCTCAACCCATGCGAAATGAACCTCGCAGAAAAATCATGGAAGATAGCAGTTGCAATGTTAACAAAATCGTTTGTACAAGAAAGATGGCATCGCGCATACCAGGCTTGGTTTTCACGCCGTAAAAACTGATCGTATTTACGTTTTTACACGTTAAAATAGTTTTTACGTTTTTACACGTGAAAATGCGTAAAAATACGTAAATACAACGTAAAAACTGCCCGTTGTACATAAGGACAGTACATACAGACTTACTGAGTCCGGAGAGTGGCAGCCAGACGCCCTGGAAGGGGCCTAAAACGAATTTTTGTTGAGCGCCATTATCGCCCTTGTCAAGGGCGAGGCGGACATTGTGTTGCGGGTGCTGGAGATGGCGGGGGACTGATCATTGTAAGCAACATTCCTCGTGTAACCTGGGTGCGCCAGGGAGCCGTACACACGTAAAAATAGCCGTAAAAATAGGCCCTTTTGCAAATTTACGTTTTTACGAGTAAAAACGTAACAGTAAAAACGTAAATGTAAACGTAAAAACCAAGCCTGGCGCATACGCACCATCGCTGAATCCTCAGAGGTTTGCCTCGAGCAGCTTTTGATTAGTGCAGTGTGGGGATTTCGGACGAGCATCGGTTGGACGTTATGGTGCCGTTATCGACTGCAAAGGACCAGGGCTTTGTTGGTCGCCATGGCTTTTGGCAACGGCGGTCCAGGGAAATAATCGCGTCATTGAGACGGAGGTCCGGATTCTATGCCCAACATCGCCTCTAAGGTGCAAGGGCAGTGTTTTGTCATGTTTATGTGACAAATGTAATCAAAGGATTCGATGAGACGGAGGGCTTCACAGAGCACTGCATCCCCCGAGCACACCCCGAAATCATCCCGCTACAGGGACTGGACCACTGCACGCAGATGGTCACTGGTGCCACGCCCCACCAGTCGCAGCCCCCCTGCCCCTTTCACCGAACGAAGGAACGCCCACATAGAGCAATGACTAACGCCCACCGCCATCACGTGCGCGTTACGTCACAGTACATTGCGCTTTCAGGCGCGGCGGGCGCTCCAGCCCAGCTGAACGAAGAGAGCCAGCCAATCCCGCCCTGCTGCCCTGCGCCCCACGACAGCCTGTTAAAGGGCCGCCGACGGCCGTCGGCCCGCGGGGGGCGGCGACACCGACAAGACAACCCGCCTCGACAAGACAGCGCGGCGCGTGCTTGCCGACAGAGCGGCGTAGCTTTGCGCGCATCCGCCCTTCGCGCTCGATCGAGGCCCGTGCTTTGGGGCCGAGGAGGGGGCATGGCGAGCCACAAGTGGGCCTGGCTGCAGGGCGTCCGGGACGCGCTGGGCTGGCAGCGGGGCCGGCTGTCATCCGCGCGGGGCTCCGCGCGATCCATCGACTCCGCCGACATTCACGGCATCGGCGGGTGGGACAGCGACGAGGAGGATGCCCGAGGCGCGGCGGTGGAAGAAGGGGGTGGAAGGGAGGACGGGGTTGCGGGGGATGAGATGTTTGAAATTGTGGACGGGCGCGTGCCGTCGCTGTTCGAGATCTGCGCGCGGACGATCGCGCAGGACAAGCGGCTGGTGGCGAGGCTGTACTACGACGCACCGCTGGGGTAGGTGGCGCCTTGGGGCCGGAAACCTGTTTTGGAGGGGGTGGGGAAGGCCCGGGGGGGGAGATTTGTTACAAAGAGAGAAGAAGCAGGTCATACGGAGGGCACCCCCTCCTTGGCAAGCGTATGCGAGACTCTTTTCCACGCTGTGGAAAGGTGATATGGAGTCTTCGATGGTAAATGATGAGCACACAACGCAAGCAACACAAAAGGAACGGGGCTGGGGGGCGGGGATGTGCTGGAGCTCAGCGGCCCGCTGCGTAGCGGTGGCTTGGCCAGAGATTGGGGGCCGCCTTTTGGCGCTCCTTTGTCGGAGTGATCTATGTTGCTCTCTGCGGTCGAGGGACCGACGAACACACCGATGCGGCAGCCGCGGGGTGGACGCCCGGAGCAAGTTTGGGAGCGCGGAGGCTCGTGAATTGGCCCTGGGTTAGTTTCGCGGGCAGCTGCACAAGCCGGGGAGGTGCCGGCGATGTTTTCTTGGGGTGGTTGGGGTGCTCCCACTTGGCAACAAGGCGCTGGTTTAGGCGCCAACGGGGGTAGAATCTGCCAAGGGGATGTCGGATGTCGGGCGGGAGGGAGGGAAGGGTGGTTTGGGGCCGCGGCGATCGCGTGGGAGCGCGGGTGGGCGTCGTCGGTGCATTGGCGGGAGTGAGGTATAATCGCAATTCGATTGGCTCCGCGATCGGAGGCGGGTGGGCTGGCCGGTGGCTGCGCGGGGCGAAGGCTGCGGGCCTGCGCGGTGTGCCGCTGGGTTGGATGAATGTGTTGCGCGTTTGTTGGGAATTGGCGCTGCCAGGAGGGCCGTCCTTAAGGCCCTGGCGCGGACGGTAGAGGCAATGGGCCGCTGGCGCTGTCGAGCTGTCTGCCGGTTCAGGGTCGTTTGCGGATATCCGTTCGTTTTGGGTGTAAATAGCGTGTGGCAGTACATGCCCTTGAACGGCAGAGGGCGATGAGGGTGGCTGGGCTTTCTTAACGAGTGGAAAGATTGCATGCAGTCAGATTTGTTGGAACCTTGCTCTTGAGTGCATTGATAGGCTTGGTCCCCTGTTGGCAGTGGATGGCATGAGGATAAATGTGTCCTTCCACTGGATGCATGTGACCATTCTTTGCCTGCATGTATTGGAGGAACAGCCATGCTCTTGTCCAATATTAATGGCCTTTAGGAACGAGAATTGGCTGCTCTGGGTATCAAACCCGCCAACACTTTGAGACACTGCGGTGCACCGCTTCGCAATTTTTGTCTTATAGGTACACTGCAATATTCTGTGTTGACCTGTCATTCAGCGGCCATTTCGTTTGGACAATTGCAACAAAAGCAATGGTGAATTGGCACTGATGTTGCAATCTCCTTGCTGTGAAGATGCACTCGATTGGGCTTCAAAGGATTGTGGACAGGGTGCATGCACATGTGCTGATTAGGCAACATTCAACTTCCCTGGTGAAATGTCCCCAGCTATTGACGTCCATCCACAAGCAAATTTCTCGTTCCCTCTCAACATCCAGTGGCAGTAAGTGTCACTTGCACATGTTCCCAGGATAGAGTATCTGTGGGAAGTTGTCAAGAATGCCCAAGACCGGCACGAGGAGCACACAAGGACCAAGTGCACTCTGAACTTAAGGGGCTGTAGGGACAGCTGTGCAGTTTTGGGGCGCACTGTGACAAGGAGGATGACCAATTGTGAAAGGTGGGTATTGGGCTACCTGCTGGTGGTTGATCAGAGCACAGCTCAGAGGAGTACAATGTACGCACCCATATTGCTCTGAGCTGCACTGATATCCCTTACTGCGCAATACCCAACTACACAAACGTACATCTTTCTGTTATAGACTGCCATGAGTCACAGTGATGAAGAGTGACTGGCACCTCAGTAATGGTGGTGGTGCTCCAAGCAGCACGTAAGGTATGGTGTTGTGTATTGTATTGGGCATAAAGATGGAGTGCAAGGACACATGAGTCCAATGCATGTTATTGCCCAAGTATGGCTTTGATTGTCATTCCCTGCTATGGTTCTGCATTGAGCCACCTGCAACCAAACACAAAAGGGGGAAAGCACAGAAGTGCCTCGTTGTGCTGTAGCAATTTGCACAGTAGAATGCTCTGCACCACTTGGGACCAGCTGTGCTGAGGTGCTATCTTTGGCGTATCCTAATGTGGACATGTCTATGTACATGCTATTGTGTTGAATGTGTAGCTGTGTCAATGATGTGAATCATGGCAGTGATTTCTGTTGTTGATTGTGGAATGTGAGGACTATCATTGTAGCAGTTATTGAGTTGTCCCCAGGCCAAGGATGCTACAGCCAAATCTATGTTGATTGCTCATTGTCATTACGATCATTGCCAGTCAATTATCAGTGCAAGAGTTGCCATTGCATGTTATATCAAGTGCTCATCCCTCTGCAAGGGATTGTTTCCTTGGTGTTTGGAATCCGCTGCTGTCAATGAACAGCCCAAAGGGTGCTGCACAGAAGTATGGGTTCGATTGTCTGGCCCTTTCATGGCTGTGTGCAGGGCATGGACGATTCAAGTTTGTTTTGAACAGTTCCAACACCACTGGTTATTCGTTTGTCGTATTTGGCACTGATAGGACTCAACCCTAATAACAGAATGCAGTTCACTTGCCTGTGTCTATAGACATGGCATAAAATTGCTGAAGGATCGCAGAAACTGTGATTTCAAAATTATTAAATGCCAAGCAACTCTTACTCATGTTTGCTTTGCAAATTTGCGCAGTGCTAGGTGTTGTCATGCTGCCCTGAAGCCCTCTGCATCATCTTTCACACTGCGGTTCTTCAGGGGGGCCACCATATTGTCATATTGTTTTTTTTTGCTACACTGAATCTTGACTTCTGTTGTCCAGGTTGGTTTCGCTCATCCTCGATGACTGCTCTGGGCTGACCGACAAAGTGCTGCGTGGCGTGGCCATCCCACGTGATAAGGTTGCCCTGCCACACCTCCAGCGCATTTCTGTGGCAGACTGTCCTGTCATAACAGACAATTCCTTGGAGCACATTATACGGATTTACGGGCCAAAGCTAAAGGTGGTGAGGCTCTCCAACAGCGGTGTGTCTCAGCGGTGCGTCAAGGCGATGGCGTTGCACTGCCCCAACTTGGAGGTAATAACTTTCTTTGGATTGTTATAACTTTTGTGTCTTGTTCGTTGTCTATTTCCTGGTCTGATTGATCGACAACGCCATTGTGACGGGCCACTGTTTGCTTGTCAATGCTTGCAGTGGATGGACAGTTTGTGACAATGGTGGAGCTCTCAACAGTTGGACCACAAGGTTGATGATGGTTATTTGCGTGGTTGACATCTGATGTGTCTGGTCAAAGGTGGCGGCATTTGCACACCAGCTGCACATCAGGGACAAGCACGTCGTGCAGCTGGTGATGCGGTGCTCGCGCTTAAAGCAGATCGAGGCAGCATACTGCAGACTGATCACAGATGTTTCTGTCATTGCCATTGCTCAGAAGCTGTGGGCCCTTGAGGTGTGGGGATAAAGGCATGCTCTCTCGAAGTCCAAACTGCAGCAGTGCTGTCCTTGCATTTTGTTTCCACTTCAAGTGGACAGCACCAGCTTCATTCTGCAGTGGCTTTGTAGTGTGTGGACTCATGTGCAGATCGACTATCATGAGACAGGGTATGACGTTTCCTAGACTTGGTTTACGAACATGCAAACTGAATAACAGCAGCGCAGTAAGGCACTTGCTGAATAGTTGAACAGGCACAGTAAAACATTTTGAATGGGTGATACTGTAGTGCAAGCTATGTGGACTTGATGCTGGCAGTGTATGCTCTGTGCCTGGTTGTTATGCGCAAAGTGTGGAGATGATGCGTGAGGTACACTAGGTACTAGGACACCTGCGATTAGCTCTGAATAGGCTACAAGATTAGCAACGAGATTGCACCACTGATAAAGTACATGCCATGTACCTGTGGACGATGACTTGTGCTGGTCTCAACTCCCAGTGTCTACCAGGATATCTTCAAGTTGTCATCGACTCATTCTTGTTTGATCGTACTTTCCAAGCTAATTCGTGGTTGTGTTTGCATGTTGCTACAGTCGTTGGATTTGTCATACTGCGATCAAGTGGGGGTGTCCATTGAGGGGCTGCAACAGTGCAAGTTCTTGCAGGGCCTTCGACTGCAGGTGGGAATGCAGAACAAAAATGATGCAAGGGCAATAAATTTTGTGTTGAAAGAGCTTCCATACTGATAGAGCCAACAACAATCCGATTTGCTGATAGATCTGATCTGGTGCATTCAACTTATGGATCCTGTACACAAATAGCATATTGCCTCAAATGTGGTCTTTCTGTTCATTTTATTTGGCAAACGTGCCAACAATACTCCAAGCATATTAAATGCCAAATACTATGAAATCATTCAAGTACTCTGGAAGGGTGGCAATAGTCTGCTGGGCAGTGCGTACAAAGAAGTGAGCTGCAAGGACGAGAGGGAAAGGAAGGGGGAAGGGAGGGTGCTGGGGAGATTTGTACAGTAACAATGCACTTCTGTGACAGACCAGCACAGGAATAAGATGGCTCTTCTAAACCTGAATTTAGCGACTGGGAAGGAGAGATTTTCAAGTAGTTGTTGGATGTCCATACTAGGTGCACAATTGAAGAAAAATGTGTCACCTGGCCAGTATTCATTTGGTTGGCAGTAACAAGCTGTGGAAGATTTTTGCCTGTTCTGCTTGCTATTCGCCTTTGTGCTTTCAAGACACCTCAAACCACAGCTGACAAAAAGAGTGCTGTTCACACTGGTTTGGCATGGAAATTTGGACATTGTTGACACAGGGGTCAATAAGGCATCATGCTACAACATTATGTCATTCTGTGCATGCATCTTTTCAAGCACAGCCTGTCCAATGCAGTGACCAATTAATCAGTCAATTTCTAGATTTTGACTGTGCTAGACTCTGCACTCTCATTGCATTTATATGCTCTTTCAAAGATGGATCCATTCACTGCCGTTTGTGCACCTTTGGGATATGCAAATCAGCTTTTCAATCCCTGGGTTGCATTTGTCTAGAAGCATTTGATGTGCCTTTCTTGGACCCTCTTATGGCAAAAATGGCACTTCTTGCATTTGGGGTGCAACAACATGAAATCAAGTCGTGCACAACACAATTGGGTCCACACTGATGACTGCCAAGTGTGCATCAGCATGCTGATCCTCTCATGGGCTGCCTGCTGCCAGAACTGTCCAAAGATCACGGACAGAATCTTGAGCCCTGTTCTTCGGTGGTGCAACCTGCTTGAGGTGTTGTGTGTACGCTCCTGCCCGCTTGTCACGATGTCTACAGTGGAGACCATCGCCTCACATTGTGAGTCGCTGAGGTCCCTAGACATCACGGGGATTCAGGCAGATGGCAACAAGGCACTGACATTGCTGGCAAAGAGCAATGCTCTGCGGCTCTCACTGCAGGTGCGTAGATATTCTCTCTCGATTCATCCTTCCTGACCAACAGGCATGGGCTTCTGAGTGCTTGCCTGAAGGGCTGCTTGGCAGCAGGTGGGGGCTGGGAACAGTGTGGCAAAAATTCCATGTTGATGGCAGGAATACATGGCCTCAGCTAGTAGTTGCAAGGCACCAGAACGTAGCGAATGTACCCAGAGACTATGTCGAATTCCCTTGTCCTGAAAAGGGGAACGTTGCCCTATCACCCGCTGGGATACAAAATGTTGTACATGCCAATGGGGAAGAGAATGCCCACAATTTATTCGATAATTGAGCAGTGCATTCACAAACAAGTTGACAGATTGTCAGGCAGAAAAGGTCTAGGAGAAATGATAGCAGAGGGAGTGAGGTATGTTGACTTTCTCATACAAATGCATGTTATGCTGAACCAATGCATTCAATGGCCTTTTATGGATCTTTTGCTGCCACGCAAGGGTACGGAAAATGTGGATGGGTAAAACGATGCTGGAAATCAGCAGCATCTATGTAGATCGGAGATGGTATTGTGATCTTTCACGAGAGTATGTGACATTGCAGTACTGTATGGAAGGATGCGGCTCAGTCCTTCCAGCAGTGGCTGCTTCCCTTCTGGCAGCTGTGGAGGTGTGCCAAGAAATGACATCCGATTGAATCTTGCATCGTTTTGAGAGAAAGACGCAATAGATGGGATTGATATAATAGAATTTACAGCATTCAGGTTGTATGTTCCATATAAACACACAATCCTTTCCCGTTGTTGACTGGGTTACATGGCCCATGAACAGTGGTGCATGTTTTGCCACAGTCCCATGCTGTGTTGTTTCCGATCATTTCCACGACATTAGAAATCGTTGCCGGAATGAGGCCAGTGCTATTCACCTGAACATTCTGTGGTGTGTGGACTCCTCTGTTTTGCACTCGGAATATGACAAGACTAGCACTTAGTTGGATGGTATCAGTATCACTGCGCGATGGGAATAATCGGGGACATACAACGCCAGTGCTCCGAAAACAGTGGACAGACTTATCTGTCGGTTGCTTGGCTTACCATGATGCATTGAGCCACCCGCCTTCCTGCAGTGCACACAGCCAGCAGCTGAATCAGCAGTAAGAATAGAAAATATCCCAATCGTCGGCTTTTGGAGCAGGGAGAATGAACTCATGCATCATAGCAACACAGGAAATGGAGCAGCGATCAATTTTTATGGCACCTGGGGCGGCCACTACATCACACTCAAGAATGCTCCGAGCGTGTGCCCCTCTGACAAGCAGACTTGTGTCCCAGGAATTTTGTTCAACGCAACGAGTTGTTTTACGGATGACTTCCTACATTTGGGAGCTTTATTGATTCGAACCTGATTGGTGAGCGATGGGCGGGTCGCCCTCCCGAGGCGCAGTGATGGCGCTTGCAAACCCAGTAGGCCAGCATTTGGATCTGGGGGGACAGGGCGCACCCAGGGGATATTAAGTGTAATTGTGTCACTTCCATTGTACCTTTATTCGTGGAGGGGGCTTGCCTACATTCTACATTTTTACATTCTAGACATTGAACTGTAAAACAGAGTGTGAATGATGAGCTGTGGAGGGCGGAACAACTGCCCCCCCTTGTGCGGGACCTTCAACAGAACGATAGCGATGGGGTGGCGACTGGAAAGTGTGAATGCCGGTCTGAACATTGGAACTAATGAATTGAGGTAAATTTGCAGTGGATACGGAGAGCGCTGTTGTGGGGATACCCCTGGTGATTGGGATCTCAACTCATTTTTCACGCCCGTGGCCTATTCTTGTACGCCGTGGATCATCAGGTGCGGCTTCTATTCGGCCGCAGCCACGTCCTTTCATTTGCAGCTTCTGTCTTGTTGCTGTGGAGGGCATGAACGGGACCAATTTGTGGAAGGTGACAAAATGTGCCGGACGTTTGTAACGGGGCAGCCGCGGTGATGTTGGCATATGTTCACAGGCAGTTGTTGCAGGTGCACTTCTGTCATTTGCCAAATGAACGCGTGCTGTCGATACCCTGATTGCCTGCACTGGGCTTCTGCACGGTCTCTTTTGGGAAGATGGTCCTGGACCCCTGTGTGGAATTGCAAACGCTGCGGTCTTTTAACCGAAAATGCAGTTATTTTTGCTGCGGCAACGGTCTTTTGAGCGCTTTGGTTTGGGTTCAGGCTCTGTTAACTGCAACATAGCCTGCAGTTTCAGCGAAAGGGCTGCAGCGGTAATGGATGCCCGTCAGCGCCATTTTGCATGCGGATCCCTCTCTGCTGATGGCAACATGAGCACAAGTCTCCAGGAGGAGTTTTGTGCACACGCCGCCAAGAATAGTGCCCCACCTGCGTTGGGCGATGGCCAGTACTTCTGGGACGGTGCGGGATGTACTGATTGGATGGAACAGGCGTTCCTACCATTTCACGGTGGAGCCGCACGAAAATGAAGCGGTGTGTGCCACTCCCGATTCCATAGTGCATCAATGAGAATAACGCACCACACTGGCACCTGCAGCCCACCAACCAGCATCTAGATAACAATGAACCTACATTCACTGCATGATGCCCAGGGACAGGTTGTGCAGCATTGTCTGCATGTGCACGGTTTGCGTGCCCATCACTGTGACTTACGTACTATATGGATACTCGGAAGTGTTGCATTGTGGCAGGCTCGTGCGCTGATGTACGCGCATCCCTGCAAACGGCACGCTGTTCCTGTCTTGGAAAGCGGACTGCTGTACATTTCGTCGGAGCGACGCGATGTCCAATGCACATGTCGCAGTTTTCGCCAAGGGCCGGCTGATTTTGGCCCAAAGGACAACTCAAGGGCGCAGTTGAGGCGCCCGCAGCGGCTGGCAGCATCTTCGACGCTGCCAGTTTCTTCACATGCTCAGATCTGTGTGCCCGGAGGTTGCGCCAGGCCGTTCAGGCTCGCGTGGGATGAATAGACAGTCTCAACTCAAAGCTGTTGGTGGTGTTACTGCTAGAACTGATTGAGTGTTGTTAATAACTGAGTGCATGAAAAGATGATGAAGCATTAGGAATTGCATTAAGGATGTTGATGAACGGACGGAGTGTAAAGGACAGAATGCCTGTTGTCCTTTTGCCTCGGCTGTAAACCGTTGCCGTGGACTCGAGCGTACAATTCCCATTCAGGGATCGCCACCCTTCGACCCTGCCTGCCTTCGTCAGTGGAACTTGTGGCCTTGTTCGCCATGGACGAGCAGGGCCTGTGGTTTGTCTTGTCGTGAAATTAATTACACCAATGGATTGCGCAACGGGCCATGCGTTGAGGCCTCCCTGTTGGGGAAGGCATTTGCGGCACCGCCTCGTCGACGTCGGCTGTGCCTGCATCTGTTAGAAAGCAATGCAAAGCACTGCTTGCCCTGGCCCTGCTTGCCGGTGTCGACGCTGCCCTGCACATGAAGATGATGGCGGAGGATTGGGTTAGGTCACCTGCACGTCAAGTGCTAAGTGCGTGCTAAGGTTGCCCCGGAAGTTTCCCCTCCTGGCAGGCTGCGAAAACCGATTGGGAGCAAGCGCTCACTGAGCAGCGGCGCAGGGCACAGTATCCGAAAAAATGGGGATGTCCGGGAATTGAACCCGGGACCTCTCGCACCCGAAGCGAGAATCATACCACTAGACCAACATCCCGCGCAGGCACATGTTGCATTTTGCTCTACATATTCCTCATTCTTTTCAGCTCCCATAGCAATCATGTTCACGAAAAGACACGTTTCGAAGCCTTGGAGCAGGCCCGCGGGCACGGATGGGGTGTATATACGGGAAGGCACCCCGTGCCACCCACATCACTGGGTTCTAATCTTGCCGCCTGTGTCCTTCCCGCGCCGGCGCTCCCCGCCTGCAGCGAAAACTGCAACTTGTTGCCCGCGCCAAAATCCAGGCGTGCCGTCGGCGACAGCGGAGACGCCAAAGGTGAAGCGCGGAGGGCTGCCGAACTGGTGACTCCTCCGGTGGAAGAGCGGATGCAGGCGAGGCGGCTCAGACTGCATGGGTGGCCTGAGGGCAGACAGCAGTTTCTGGGGCACTTTCGGGGCAATGTGAACACGGCAGCTCTGGGTCATGGAGGGCACACGGCAAGTTCTGGGGATGTGTGGGCGCAGCGTTGCGGTAGTGGGCTACGTTTTGGATGGGCGAACCACCGCCGCCGCGTGCAGAGTGCAACGGTCGTGCTTTGACTTGCGAAGGCGAGTGTCAATCAAGGCGCCCAGCGGTACCGTGATACGGTGGCGCGGGAGGTGGGACCGCGCGGGGAGGGAGATTGGAGAGGCGCACAGAGTGAGGAGACACGGAGGTTGTGCCGCCACGCGGAGAAGCACGCATTTCCAGCACCAGACGCTGTCGTTGGCGTGCGCACTTGACCGCGGCGTTTGTGTCGGGAGCACCTCGGGCGCCGGGCTGTGAGGTATCGAGAGCCGCACCGGGACAGAAGACAGTGGCGACAGTGGGCATCGCGCAGTGCCTCTACTGCGGGCCGCAGTCTGCGGCCAGTTTTGGACAACTGGACTTCACTGTTTCAGCTTCCAACGGTGCCATAATCAACTTCTACAGAGGCGGCGGCTGTCTGGAAAGGACGTGGATCTTCGTGCACGAAACTCCAGACCTTTAAAACTGTCATCTGCGTCACCACCTCCCACCCCAATCCTATCCTACCCATCATTCCAATCAAAGACCACAAGTTCAAGAAGTTCTCTGCCATCGAACAGTTTTCCAGTTCTAGCAACCGCCCACCCCTCTCCCCACCTCCCACATCAGTGCACTTTCACAGACACATGTGACGTGGAGGGCTGAGTACGTCGCAGCATCGACTATTATTCGAAGCGGCAAAAATACGGGAGAAAACGCCGCTATGGGCGGCCCCAATATCCAGCAACTGTACTGATATGAGCCGGGGTAAGGGCAGGTAGTCGCCAGCCGCCAACAATCTTTCCTGACAGATCCACGGCGGACACCTCCACGCATGTATTGCAACTCAACCAAAGAAAGTCGTGGCTCGACCAACGCAAGATTTCGAGTGCGCATCCGTGACTTTGGCGTGGGGCGATACCTCCCTTAAGCAACAAGCCCAGCAATGCCCCCGATGCCAGAGCCGCCTTGACGATGACTGCCCGCCATGGTCTGCAAGGTGAGGGGACTATGCCTTGCCTTGCGCAGGACAAGCAATCCAGGCAATCCAGCGACGCAGGCCGACTAGAAGACAACTTCACATCAGACCCCGCCACTGCCGTCGATGGCTTCATGGACAATCGTGATTGATGGATCAAAGCGGCCTCGCAATCCGCCTATGGGCAATCACCGGTGGGCGATGATCCAACGCTGCGTCGCCCAGAGAGATGCACTGATCACGGGCACCCCTCACCGCCACAGCACACAACCGCGCAGTGCGCCACACCGGCTTTCAGCTACTACTGATCTCGTTCCCACGGGCAACCCTCGTTCAGACCGCGTTTCCAAGCGCGGCTCCACTCGATGCCCCTACCGCGCGACTGTAGAAATACCCAAACCAATCTCAGCCCCTCCCCCTTCGACGAAAAGAACACCCATCCCGTCACGCCCTGCCCTCTTCCACCGCAACACACGCGCCACCCGTCCTACCCCGTTCCTCCGGAACATGCGCCCTCGGGCCGATGAAGCTGAGCACCACCGGCAACACGACCAGCCCGTGCCACAGGCCCAGCAGCACGATTACCGTCATCATGTTGAAGAAAACGTCCATTATGTAATGCTCGGCAAAGTAGAGGGCCACGACGGCCAAAAAGGTTGTGACGCCGCCCGCCAGGACGTCCCCGCCGATGTCATCGAGGGCGGCCGCGGCGCGTTCAGTATTCGTGCCGGTCTTGCGGGCGAGGAAGGCGTAAGCCACGTGGGCTGAGTAGTCCACGGCGATGCCCACGGCCAGGATTATGTTAATAGACGTCACGATGTTGAAGGTCATCCCTCTGTACCACATGTAACCTGCAGGGCCAGCCCGCGGCAGAGATTAGGGGCCGTGCGCCAGGGTCTAATCTCTTCAAGCTTGGTGTCTAGAGCAACGCAAAGGCATTTGGCGCATTTTCGGAGTTGGTTGTTCGGAAGCCGCACCGTTGGCTCAAAGTACTCTGGCCCCCCTTATAGGGGAGACATTCACGGCCCGGGGGTGCGACAACGAATGCGACATTTTCAAGGATTTGCAACATTTGATGTCGATGATCCCATCGTCCTTCGCGGCTTCAGCATGCAACCTTGACTGTTGATGCGAATAAAATACTTTCTTCCATAATTCTGGCGCACGTTGTGTCACTCCACCAGTTCAGCACTCGCCAACAATGCAAGAGAAGAAAGAAGACGGAGGAAATGTTCTTTTCATTAGTCCGTCGTGGAGCGATATTGTCAAACACGTCAAACACTCTCCATTGCACACAAAAATAATGTGTGCCAAAATGCTGTAATCATCATTACCGTGGTACGCGTTTATCACTACTGTGGCGCCCATTCAAAGGAGCACAGCAAGTCTTCTTGAAAATTGTATTTTGGGGTGTACACCAAACAGTATATCAATAAATTCATGCGCCTGCAATAAAAACACGCCACTTCAAAGTACACAAAAGAATGAAAACAGGACGACAGACAAGTGATAAATTTAGCAAAAGCAAATTGAAGCAGACAGTGTTTTTATCCGGGGACATTCTGCCAGGATGTGCCATCCCACTCACCAAACAGCATGACGTCCGTGAGGGCTATCATGCACACCACCGACAGGGCCGCCAGGAAGTTCGCCAGCAGCACCAGCACGATGAGGAACACCGCGGCCCCCGCCATCAGCACGTTGCGCAGCGTGACGTACTGTATCACCTTCAGGCCGTCGATGAACGGGAAAAAGAAGTGGTACACAAAAGGGTCCAAATCCGGCACCCCCGTGTGCGCCTCGTGCCTCACGCTGTCCACAAAATCTACCATGTAGTCGCCGTCGACCAGGTCCCGGCTGTGACCCCTGACTAGTCGACTGGCCACGATTTCGTCGGTCGATTCGTCAAATTTTATGTCACTAAAGTACAGGGCGCCGTCGGTGTCGACGAACCGCCGGACGAGGTCCGTGAAGGCGGTGGCGTTGGGCGCCCGGCCGTCGACGAGGTCGGAGGCGGGGGCCGACGTGTTTAGCCAGGCGCTGAAGTCTTCGTACCTGCGCAGGACGGGCAAGCATTAAGCACTGCTAGGCAACTATTGGACAGAGTATTGGACAAGTTTTGGATAAAATGATGGACAACTGTTGGACACGCACTGAACAAGCATTGGGCAAGTGTTTTGCCGCTGGGGTGTCGGATCTGTGGCGCTTCGTTTTCTTATGGAGCGTTCATAACGAACTGAGCGCATGCGCACATCGAGTTTCTTCTGAGACAAGGTTATGTATTGCAAATTTCTTCCGCGCTTCTAAAAATGTAGTCAAAACATACCACCAATTTTGTGCTTTCACCTGGATGTCTTTATGCGCCTTAAACACTAGTAAAAAACAGGCCAGATGACACAGTTCTGACACGGTCTGCTCAGAATCCAACCGTGTACTTCTGGCAAATGTGGTCCCAAAAGTACACTGTTGTTTGAGGGTACACGGTCGAAACTGTGTCTATGCATGTACTAACTGCGTACTTTTGGGACCACATTTGCCGAAAGTACACAGTTGGATTTTGAGCAGACCGTGTCACGACTGTGTCATCTGGCCTGCTTTTTCCTAGCGTTACCTACTGAACAAGATCAAGATCAAGAACAAGATCAAACATAATCAACAAATGGAATTGAAATACAACTATCTAAAGTCATCTGAGAGAGTATACTTACCAAAAAGCACACAAAGAGCATGCAACCAAACAGGGATCAGAAACTTCTGCACAGATGGGCTGCTCACCATCCGAACACTGGCGGCTTGTCGGTGACAAATGGATTCTGCCGCGTTGCGTCCATCAGGGCCACGAACTGGTCCTGAAAGTCGAAGTAGGTCAGGCCCTCGGGGGCGGCCTTCGTGTAAATGGTGAACGGGTTCTGGTCGCCTCCAAAGTGGTTGTCCTGGATCTGTCCAGAAATGGTGGAGAGGCAAAAGAGATAGATGAGCGGGCGAATGCCAGGGATGAATACGCGCGCTGCTTTGGCGTCATGCCACTGATATTCAATCGAGAAGCTGGGTGAAGTCCCAATACGCAGGCAGGACGTGTTTGCGCTCGCCAGTACTCAGTACTGCTAAGATTTGTCCTGATTTTGCTTTCACACAGCCTCCTTTGCTTGGCTGTTCCCGTGCTTCCGAATCTGTTTCACTTCGTCTCATTTTGCTGCTTTCTTATTACTTTATTCACAATGCAATCACAGAACATCTTCGAACCTTGAAAGCCGTCGCCATTCTCGAGCCCTTGGGCGTGAACCAGTCTTTGAACCTGAAATCCATGTACGTGTTCATGAATCCATAAATCGCCGCGGACAGCAGAGCGAGCTCCAGCAGCACCACAGCGACCTTCCCCCATGTGCTCAGCAGCACTTTGGGCAGCCAGTCGCCCATGAACCTGCACCCCAGTGGAAAAACGGAATCAAAAGCATCGGAAGGCTTCTCCGCCGACCATGTTCACGCACTTATGATTCTAGCCAAGCACGCTCCACAATCTCGTTAATCCACTAAACGTACTTGTGCTGCATTCTACCCTACACCAGTAGAAAACAGCCTGTTTGCGACGCCGGTTGCGACGCCATTTGACACAAATTGATGCCATCACAGCCACTTTTATGCCATCGCAATCACTGTGATGGCATCATTTTGTGTCAAATGGTGTCGCAGTTGGCATCGCAGACATGCCGTTTTCTACCAGTGCTATCGTTCAACATCAACACCAATCCATTCAAGATTGCAGTAGCTTAACGCCCAGGTGGTAAATCTCGCGTTGACCGCATGCAGCGTGCCTCTTCATGTACTCAGGCTGTAGCCGTGCCTGATTTTAGGCACTGCGTCAATTCCCTGCCAACTGCACAGCTGGCAAAGGATCACCCCCGCCAATACATTGCATGTTGGATAAGGGTCATCCGCGGCCGCATTACCTACACAGGGTGAGTTGGCAGCTCCCATGCACAGTATCCACAAATCTCCCTACAGTACTTACACTACCTTCAGTAATAACAGCACAGACAGTACCAACAGCCCCAAAGCGCTCAGAAGCTGACAGGGCTTTGGGTGGAAGCTGAAGCGAAGCGCCGTCACAGCACCTAGCGTTGGCCGAACCAGGGAACAGCATGCCCCAAATGCGACCGACTGTATTCAGTTACATTCGCTCTGGCGCCGTTGCAGCCACTGCGATGACACCGTTCAGCGTCAAAACCGCGTTGCAGTTGGCACCGCCAAAATAGCGCCATCTGCCCGTGCAACCAATTACACCGGTTTCACTTGGAAAAAACAGGCCCAAATGACACGTGTTCAAACGTGTACAAATTTTACGGGTTTGGGTTATTCCCCATTTTTTAGCATGCAGAACACTGATGAAATGCATATATGTGTGTTCGCATGAAGTGTTATTTGGTCCTTTGGCTAGTGTTGGTGCAATTCTGTTTCTACCGTTTTGGTGCAACCAAGAGACGCGGCTCGTATGCGATGCACACACACCTGGCAGTGAAGGACTTGCTGCAGGGGTCGTAGTCGCCACGTCCAAATATCTTCGATGTCAGGGCGGGATTAACGCCGGTGGAGTTCAAATCCGGGCGGCTGGAGCTCAGTTTTCTGGTCACGGCCTCCTTGGCGTCCTGCTCAGCGGAACCTGAAGAGCCTCGACGAATTTCCAGCGCCTTCGCCGTCATTGGAGTGCCTGCTGGCAGGGAAGCCGGGGTGGCTGCTTCTTCAGAGGAGGTGTGGGAATCCTGCACATGCTGAGGCATAATGAGGCATTGTGACACCAATAGCTAGGGCTCACAAAATTCAGCTACCAAGGGTGTGCTTTTGTGGTATCTGAATGTTGTTTCTTACAATTGAAAGTCGAGAGCCTCACAAATATGTTGAATTCTTATGCTAACGTTGTCACCACGTCATTCCTGCTGAGCGGTAGCAGAACTGATGCAAAAGCGCATTCCAAATGCTGTGGCCAAATCCTCACCATCCAGGAGTACAGGTGCTCCTCACATAATCACAATTATCCCTTCTACAGAGGAAAATGAGCTGGGCGCAGATTTTCTAGAATTTGCTGTGGCATAGTATTGCATCTTGCATTCGCCAAAGTCAGATGAAGTATACACATTCAGGCGTGTACAATCGGTTGTCCACCAACGATGGAGCTTGTGGCTGTCAACGCCCCTGCAGCACCCAGATTGGTACTTCTTGGCATGGAAGTTGTGGCTGAAACCACGTTCTACATAGCAGACCCAACCTGTGTTTGTTTTCCAAGCGCAATGCAGCACATCAGCAACATGTTTCGGCCATGGAGCCTTCCAAGCAAACGACTACGCAATGAACACCACTCCTGATGACACTCTTGCCATTCACCGGCGGAAACCGACACTCTTGCGATGCCAACTGCATGGCCATCTGACACTAATGGGCGCCATCACACCCACTTCTGCGCCATCCCAATCACTGTGATGGCGCCACTTTGTGTCAAAATGGCATCGCAGCTGGTATCGCAAACATGGTGTTTTCTGATAGCGCTTGCTCCCTGAAGCCATTCCCACAGGGAAGGCAATAAAGGACGAGCTATCAGAATAAGCTCACTATACAAACACCGTGTTGTACAAATCGAGGGCTGTGAGCCACATGCACTGCTGTTGCTCACGTTTGCCGACTCCGATGGCGCTCGCCCTCCCTTGGGAATGGGCCCTAGCCCGAGCCACGTGGCCCCCTTGTACAACCGCCTCTCGCGGTGGGCTTCCAAGATTACGAAGGATAACAAGAAAGTGGTCTGCAAGAAAGAGGCTCAAGCCCGTTAGTCATCATTATCGACACTTTAACCTGTTCATTTACCAGCACGTTCATCGACCACCTCGAGCTGCACTGCCAAGAAATTGAGCGTGCCAATGTAAACTGTAAGTTGCGCATTGCACGTGACAATTTGGCTTGAACCCAAACAATGGCTTTTCTGCACAGCAGATGTAAATCGAATTATGACAGAAATCGAAGGCAACTCAAAGTAGTAGAAGCACCTTTCTTCTGGGCCACTCTCATTGAGGCTTTCATTGAACTAAATGCCCATGTCCTCGATCCAGTTGGTGATCGTTACCTAGAATGCCATATGCACGACTCAAACACAGCAGTACATTATCATAACGACACAGGAAGGCTATTGCGCCATCCTACATCGTATACTGTATCACATTGCGGTATTGGTACTGGGCGCGATACAAATTCTCATAATGTGGCAGTGAGAAACGAACACATGATATGAGGCTGCAATGTGCCCTATACACGATCAGTAATTCATGAGAGACGAATCACCGCCAAGATCACAACCCGCCTTGTTTTTGCATTTCCAGCACCGCTTTTGCGTTTGGATCTCTACACATAAGACCTAAACAAGCAGAAGCGGCTTTTGTTTTGGCAATATTTACATATTATTACTACGTGGTGAGACACCCGGGTAACGTGATGAAGTCACAAACAATGATCAGTCCTCCGCCCCTTCAAGCACACGCAACACAGCTCGCCCTCGCCAAGGGCAACGACATCGTCAAGCAAAGGTCGTTTTCTGCCCACTCAAGCGTCTGGATGCCGTTGCCCAGGCTCCCTGCATGTACTGTCTTTGTGTACACAGGGTCTGTACTTACGTACTTTTTACGTGTTCAGGCGTCAAAGCGTCACCGCTATCTTTACGCATGAAAACGTAAAAACCTCTCGCTGTATTTACGCTATAAATAACAAGCCTGATCACAGCCACGATGGTCTGCCTCACCTGGTAGACAAAGGTGAAAAAGATCCCCGAGCTGGAGTACACCGCAAAGGCCACGAGCGCAGGGATGTCGGTGAACATGGTCAGCAGGAAGGCCACGAAATCCGTCACGGACGTCACGAAGATGGTGGACCCGGCGGAGGCCATGGTGGTGGCTATGCGGTCCTGGACGCTGTCCCGCACATCTGTCTTTCTGAAGGCGCCAAGGATGATGAACGTGTCGTCGATGCCGAGGCCCAGGAGCAGGAAGGGCACGGAGCTAATCACGAGGTTGTATTCCACGCCGATGGTCACAGAGAAGCCGATGGCAGAGACATAAGACATGCCCACTGTGCAGCCATAGAAGCCCAATGGAAGCCGTCCGCGCGGTGCCAACAATATCAGGCGCAACATCCACAGATGATCCACGGCGTTGAGTTGGCAGTGTTGTTGATTGCAGTGCAATAATCGAACATTTTCCGTGCCCGTGGCTTACCAAGGGTGAAGCTCTGAGACTCCCAATCCGTTTCGTCTTAGATTGGCCAAACAATGGCTTTACCACAACTCTTCTTGCGCCATGTTGTACATTGTTCGCTATCGCATTCCATCAATGTGAACATCGCTTTGAACGGAACAAGTGGTCCAATCCTGGCTATGTTTTTGGGGTCCAATTATTGCGGGTGCTTGGCACATTCATACAGGTAACCCTCATTAGTACTAGCAGTAACCAAGCACTGCATAAACAATTGCCAACAACAAGAATAACATTGGAAGTAATGTGAAGTGCAGTTTGACACAAAGCTCTACATGCAATATGCACACTGTGCGAGCAATGCAACGAGACAATTTGTGACATGGGGCCTGCTGGATGAGGGAAGTGGAAACTACCACTTCCATGTCTCCTTCATCACAATCTTTCATGTTCAATATCTTTGTTATGTCACCTTGCACTACGTTTTCACAGATTTCTCTTCTGGCGCCCCTCACCCGACAGAGTGCTGAATGCGACGAGGTGCGACTTGATGGCAATCCAGTTGTTCCGGAAGAGCGTGCCCATGCTGTAGGCTCCTACCAGCGGCGCTGCCAGCAGCACCCAGATCATGTCCCTCATGACGGCTTCTGTGGCCTCCCGGTAGACGTGGGGCGTGCTGCTGTAGAAGGCCTGGAGACGGCCACGCTTGGCAGTGTGCCAGCCGTGCACCTCGTCCACCAGCTCCTGGTCCCACAGCAGGCCCCGGGGGTCCGAGCCCTCGCTCGTGAAGGAGCCCGCCTTGCCCTGGGGGCACCATGCAGTAGTGAATGACTGTTGTCATGTATTGTGACAATGACCAGTGTCACATGCCATGTATTGTTCACCACTCTGTTCCGAACGTTCTTGAATTTGTGAAAGCAAGTGGCATGACCAACACCAGTGAAAAGTGACATTTGGTGTCAAAAGCTGTCACACCATTTGACACTCATTCATGCCATCGAAGCTAGTTTATGCTGCCACAATTACTGCATTTGCACCACCCAGTGTCACAAAGGCATGGCATATGGCATCAGTCAGGTGGCATTTTCTGCTAGTGCAAGTAATGCAAAATACCTGCATTGAACCACTATTTCCTCAACGAGCTTCAATGGATAAGAAAAGTTGGAACTCAAGATGGACAAAGCAGAGAATGGAGTGACACTGCAATGAAACTAGAAGAAGGCGAAGTAGGAGGATGAAGGAGGATGAGCAATGGAAACAAGACAAAAAAAATAAGTTCGAAGTGGAACAAATGTGGAGTCACACCTGCAGATCAAATGGTGTTTAATACGCTTTTCAGCACTTTGAGAAAGCCAGCAGGCAGGCGAAGGGAAGCAATTCTTCTGAAGTGAGCACTTCTTGGTAGAAACCCGATCACACGCAATTGAATACCAAATATTTCCATGAGCAAGTTCGCCACTTTACAACGCATGCACATGACATCAACCGAGAGGCGCAGCGTGCAGTCATGCCTCGCGTTGCACGTTCATCAAACACCACCGATTGCTAGCATCCACAACTTCAACAGCCCGACCTCATTCGCCTGGCGCCACGGTTTCTGACACAGTGGGCACATGGAGTGGTCCCAGGCATCTGCATATAGACGCCATGCACACGGCATGCGGCATTACTCACCAGCCCATCTTTCTGCTCATCTGTCAAGTTGCCTGTCGAATCCAGCAGGCGAAGGAGGGCCTCATCCTGTTCGCTGAGATCGGTGTCAATTTCAACCACCAGCTGGAATATCTCCGCACCGTTTATCCTCCCATCGGCATCCCGCTGCACGCCCCCCAGTGCACTCTCCACATCCAAGGGCCTGCCGAAAATGTCGGTGACGTTTCCTGAGCGCAAAAACAACAACGTCCGTCAACCATTTTGTGGGACTTGACACTATCAAATCGACAGAGATCACAAATTACGTCATCGGCAACTTCGCGGCAACTGCACAGTTAGCATCCCATTCACAGGTTTTCCCAAACTGCACAGGCCAAAATTCGGCCATGTTCAAACAGCCCGTGTCAGTGCTTGCACAGCGCGGGGCTGGACACCATTAGCCTTTCATTGATCTGATGTGCATGGTTGGTTTGAAGTAAGCGAACTTCAGGTGAGTAACTGGACGGATCAAATCAAGCGATCTCATCCAGAATCCTTATGCCGTATTCACCAGTGAATTCGCGCCCTGTCAGGGATGTGTGCAGATTTCTATTCCTGTCTTCGCTCAGGATATTTGCTCATTTCCACCCATCCAGAAAAAGACGACCTCTCGGGCCCAGTGCACCGGCCCAGTGCTTGTGCAGCACAAACATCGTCACACACAAAGCGCACAAAGTGCATAATAGCAGAATACGTGATATACAATTTTCGAAGGTAATTGCCAATTTGCAATCACGGTCCAGACGTTGTCACATTTCCAAACCAAATACTTTGCTAAGAGGTGCTGGTCGAACTTTTGCAGACCTGCATCCCAGAATGCTTTACAGTCATGAAGGTACATCGAGCATTAGTGCAGCACTTAGTTCCTAAGCAGCCAGATCTTGTACAAGGAAGGCGTCGAGGTGTTGTGCACACCTCTTCTTCACAGGGCACAGTGCAACATAATTGTTAGTCATCCAAAGAAGCAACAAATGGCTGCCAGCGTGGGCATCTGTTCCCCTACCCGAGTTGATGGTTCCGAGAACGTCATCGTCCGCCTGTAGTTTGGCCATGTCGTAATCCCAGGCGTCCAGAATGCTCTCCCTCTGGGCACCAAAATGGTTGCCGTCAGGCGATTACTAACAAGGTACTTTTGCCTTGCCATATTAAGGGATAACCATTTAAGCACTTCTTTGGCAACAATAAATCCACGTAAAGAAACCTTAGTGCAGTTAAACATAAAACTTGATGGTGTGCGTCAATGCCGTCGATGACATCTGTCCAGAGAAGACAGGCCATTCACCTGTTGCCCGATGATGGTTCACCTTTGCCAAATTATTAATCGCATTCACAAGTTCATGTAATGCAATTTTAATGTGACCTTTTTAGGTCAACGATATATCGTTCGCAACATGAACGACGGAGACTTGCAGTGGGCGCCAACAAGGAGGTCACGGGCGATTCAGCATTGCGAAACCTTTTCAAAACTTTAAATTATCGCAATCGAAATATCAGCATGGACTGTGGCATGGACCTAAGATGTGGCTCTATGTCACCCTGCATAAATCGGGTACCGATACATACCGTCAAGACCATATGTCACGTGCAGAAATACGCGCAAGCGCGCTTGCAATTTCAGACACCGTTGCATCCACACGTGGATTCATTTCGTCAATTGTTGTTCCTTCGTGCGACCAGACAATTGGGAAGTCGCAAAACTCCTCACCTTGCATTGAAAATTGGGCCTTGTACGGTAGCAAATTTGAGTATAAGTAACCAGAAATCCAAAAAAAGTCCTTTCGAAACTCTCGATATGTTCCCATAGCTCCATGAGCTCGACCAGGTTGGCCTTGGCGACAGACGGCTCCAGAAGGTTCTTTCCGTTGCCGTCATTCGCCACAGCATATAAGCGGTCCTAAAGCGCGCCATGAAAATGCCCAACGTCAACACAAAGATCAAAATGACCAGCAAGAAGGCGCTATCAAATGACCAATGGCGTCCGCCACGTTTCTCAAGAACCACGTTTCACTGCATTCAAGATCCATACTCAAATACTGAAGCTTCACAAACTTCAAGCTGAGCCACACCAGCGTCATTTGATCTAGATCGTTTAGTCACTGAATCAACTGGACAGCAACAGTTTCTCAAGAAACATTCCGCGCCAACCCATAAATCCGCAAATCGCCCGTACTCGCATTTCCAAAATTACTTGACTGGCACAGCATACTCACCCACAGGCTTCCCTGACAACAACTACCTCACCACACCCTTGCGCACACCGACCAGCAGATGAACAGGACACGGCTTTCAATCAACAGACTTTAAACATTGGTGCCGATTTTGCGCCTCACCACAACCGCGGGATGCTCGAATTCCTGTCTCACGTACAGCCTGTCATCTACGGAGTCCGCGCTGTTCGGAGCGTACAGGTGTTCTGGATTGTCGTCCTCCTCGAAGTTCCGCAGGGCCAGCACTCCCAGCACCGCCGTGCACAGGATTGGCAGCAGAATGAAAATCAAGGGGCGGCGTGCGACGAACAAGCCCAGCTGTCGAAAGACCGCTGCCAAGCCTGCAGATCGAAGACAAGAAAATGTCCGTCAGCTTGGGCCCACGAACGGCCATCTCACCCATTTTGGAACCGCCGCAATATCTAAATACGGTGTTTTCTCCAATACTCAATTTCGACTGCTACTGCGTTTTGCTGGTTTGCTGTCATTTGCAACATTCTGTCGGGTGTGGTGAACGCACGCACCCATAAAACTCTTCGCAAGATCTCCGCCCTGTAGCGGTGACTTGCCCGGTAGACACTCAGAGACAATGGGCCCACTCAGCACCCACTAGCAAAACAACAGGCGAAAACGCACGGTTTTGAAAATCGCGTGAAAATCGCGCATTCATCATAGAAAAATGGGACCAAACCGTGTAAAAACGATTTAATGAGCGTACATGATTTGCAGGCGTCTTGACGCGGTTCTATTCCATGCTTATACGGTTCTAAACCGTGTATTCTGGCCGATTTTTTACTTGAAAATGTGACCAACAAGGCTGCCTTCCAGGGAATCTGGGGCGAGGCATCCGCAGAATCTCCGCCCAACGATGCCTCTGGGGCTAAGGCGCCTTGAGAGTTCTACATTGTTCTCACACAGGCCTTCTCAAAGACCACTTTCAGGGAAAAGTGTCACAAGCAAGTGGTGGGACATGCAGAGTCTTGTACTGCGATAGCACCATTGTAGTGCGCAGAACCCCTTTCTCCCGAAAGAAGGTGCGTTCATGATGGCTGCGGAAGAGACGTGGGCGGAATCTGCCTATGCTGCAAGAAACACTAGAACAAAAGGGCCAAATAACACGTGCTCAAACGTGTACAAAGTTTACGGGTTTGTGTTATTTTTGTGTTCTCAGCGTGCAGAACTTTGATGAAATGTGTTTTACGTGTGTTCGCAAAAGTGTTATTTGGCCATTTTTTTCTTAGTGAAAAGCGTCGTTTGCATCCAGCTATTGGCCTGTTCTTTTAGCCGGGGTGGACCCTGCGAAAATTTTGTACCAGGCAAAGGAATGTGCGATCGTGTTGCGGTTGATCCACGCACTTGGCCCTGCTTACGCCCCAACCCGAGGCCGATCCTGAATTGGGTGTGGCGATGCAAAAGATTGCTGAAATCGCAACAATGATGACAGTTGTTGGTTTCAGGTTTGCATTGAGCCACTGTGGAGTAAAAAGCGTTCAGTTCTTCTCGTGTTTGCCAATGCTGAGCATCCACGGAACGTAACATTCTGGCAAGGGCGCGACAAGAAGTTTTTAAGTGGGTTCCAAAAGTTTGTGCATTGCAGATGAGCGTTTCAGATACCAGACTCCTGTGCCAGATTTCGGATATCAAGTATCATGCTGCGTTGCGTATCGTATGACTGTGCTGAGTTGCTAATTCAAGTCACTCGAAGTCAGCCAATGCCAGAGGCTCCGCGCGGGAGCTGGAGACTTCAATCAAGGGTATCTTGGCGTTTTTGGCAGGTCAAATCACTTCAGCAGTTGCAATTCTGCCGCCATAAGCTGGTCATCGCGCTCAGGCGAATTGAAAATATGATTTTCCCATTCCTGGTGTGGTCTCTGGACAGCGCCGTTTTCGAAACTGTGGCACATTTACCTGCCACCCCGTAACCTTGAACACTGCATCTCAAATCCCTTGTTATCCTGTTACTAGGACTATGGTGCATTGCTGCTGATGGAACGTGCATCATGCTCGTGTAGAAAAATGCAGGTCAGCTCTAGAGCCGACCTGCTGGAGCTGACCAAGTATCAACGCCAGATCTGGCACTGACACTTGGCAGCTGACATGAAGCATGACCATTGCCGCAACGGTGTCCAAGCGAGCATCAGTATGCGTCCAGGGCGATCAAAACTGCAGCAAAATCGTTCAAACTTCAAGTGAGGGAGACAAGCGGCCTCTCAACATACATTTTACCCGCTTCTAAGCCCTGTGTAAAGGCTGAGCATTGTTTCATTTGCCTAAGTGGACCCAAGTATTGGAGTTTGCACCTCCTTTTCGGGTCATTTTTACAGGGGGCAGTGCAACATGTTTGCTTGTCGAAAACGTCATGTGATGTCGAGGAGTAAAAGTAGGAACAGGCTGTTCTGCACACACGCTACGTGGTAGTAGCAGCACCCGCGTACAACAAATCCCAGCCTGGACCTCGTGGACGGGCGGTTTGCGTCCAGGATTTCTGGGCCAGGCATTTGCCCCCATTTGCGGTTTGCCTTCGTTGACCCACAGCAGTACCCCCTTTGCCTTGCAAGTACTGCTCGTGTGCCCCGCTCATATTCTGTTGGATGATGTACGCCGCCCAAACACCTCAAACCCTTCGTAGTTGTTAACCGCCCTTCACGTACAGCGGCCCCCACGCGGCGGATTGGACGGCCCGAGGCGAGGCTCACGTGAAGTTTCGGTGCCGTGACAGGATGGCATTCAATCAGCATCACACATTCGCGCTCAACTCGCCGTGGGCCTCCACCTCTGACACGCAGGAAGCAGAGCGAGCCGCAACGGAGCCGGCCGACAGCCCGCGCCACCGCGGCTGCCCCGAATGGCCAGTCCCCCGCCCAAGCCGGCCCACGTGACCCCGGGATTCGGCCCTCGCGGATGAGACACCGCAACCCGGCAGTCTCCAGGTCGGGTGGAAAATTTCGCGGTGCACGGTGTGGCGGCAGTGGCATCAGGCAGGATCCAGAGAAGCGCCCACGGTGTGCTCGTCACGCATGGGCGCCGCGCAATTGCGACGGAAGGATCGGAATGAATCCGTCAACGTAGGCGGATTCATGAGAATCGACAGGCGCTGGCGGCCCCCCCCCCCGCCCCCCCCGCCCGCTGCTCGGGGGTCCGATTCCCGAACCGGAGGGCGTCGCGGCTTTTCAAACAGAGAGGCGCATGCCGCGGCGGCCGTCCGCCAGAATCCATGCAGATCGCGGCACCCCTCCCCGGCCCATTGGGACGCGTCGCGCGTCGATTCAACGGGCGGGGGAGCGGCGCGCCGGGCCAGCCGCGCTGATCGCCCGCGCTGCGCTCGAGCCGGATCACCCCGCGGCGGACAACAACCGCCGGCGCTGGCCCTGGACGACCAACGCGCCAGCCAGCGGCACAAGTCGGCAGAGCGCATGGGCAAGGCAACAAAACGGGAAAGGCACCACCCCAAGCCGGGTGCAAACGGCCTCCGCGCATTCTGTGCCACCGTCCCCTGCCGTGCGCCCCACGCTCCCCCCGCGGGCGGCGCTGTCCACATTTGAGACGCTGAAATGGCCGGCTTTGTGCTCGCGACTCACCGTCGTGGGCGGCGTCGCTGAGCCTCCTGAGACCCTTTCCACAGGACGCCACGCTGCCCAACATCCTGGGTCGCTGGCCGCCACTAACTCCTTCCCGCTTCGCGCAATTCACCGCCCAAGCCTGGGCCCAAACGCCCCCCTCTGAGCTGCTTAAATAAGGCCACGCTGCCTGCGAAGACAGCCAGGCCGGCGCCTGCGCGGGGCGATTCTGGTGCGGTGGATTTTGGACGCCCCCTCGTGGTGGGGTGGAGGGTAGCGGGGGGGTGGAGGGGGTAGCGTGAGGGTGGGCGATTTGGCGGCATGGTGGCAAGGGGGATGTGACGGCGGCTTGACGGGGCCGGTTGTTACGTCAGCGCCGACGAACGAACCCAAGTGGAAGGAATCTGGGGGGGATCAACGTCGCATTGGGGAGCCTGCGAGCCAGGGGGAAGGATGCTCGACTTGGCGCAGCGATGTCCGTTTTTGTGGAGCAATGCAACGATAATGACCGGTGTGTCGGTCAGCGCGGGGGAGCGGCAAGCCTCCTTGTTCCGCCCTGCGCTTGATTCTCAGAATCGAGAGGCAGCGTGCAGGTCGCTTCCGCATGTGCATGGGGACGTGACGGACGCGTATGTCACCGCCGGCAAGTCGCAAGGGTCGCGCTTTGCTTTTCGAAGGCGAGTTCAAGCAGCTGGATTTAGCGTTCGCGTGCGTTCGCCACCGACCTGACCTGCCAGTGCAGCTTGCGCTCTCAGGGAACGTCTTGCTGAATGTCGTTTGGAAGCAATCCCCTTCACTTGCAGTTCCTTCTAATGCAACAATTGGTGAATTGAGTGAATCTGGTGGTCACACGGACACGCACCAAATTCGCGACGCTTGTATGCACAGATGCAGACGCATTGCAAGCCCTGCCCGCATCAGTGGCTCCCCCATAGTCCTGCTCAATGGCACTGCTGTTGGCGACTGGTGTGATCTCCCAGGTCTCCTAATACAGCTCGCTATGCCATGACCAGGACCCAACACGTTCCACCTAAAGTGGCGGATGGATGGATTGTCACAACAGAGCAGCTCCAGAGTGTGTCCGAGTGTGTTTTGTGGGCGCATACGCGTTCCGAACTGGGCAACCGACCAATAATAAAACAACCTTTTGGAAACCAGATCCAAATAGGCGACTTGACACTGAAGTTGTGCGGTATGTGCTATGATACCATGTACCAGAATATGAGGGCCTTTGCCCTCTGGTTATGTCAGACTGCGAGACGCATGGAAACACTGACAAGGCAGGTCTACAGCAGACAAAGGTGCTGAGCACTAGGGCAGGGGGCAGGGGCGAATCTGGTGAACCCGACATACTCTGCACGGATGCACAGTGTGGCCATCCAGTTATTCCATCACGTTGAAACGGGTTGCTTCGCATATCCGCTGCCTACATTGCCGCCCGCACCAGTGTCACAATTGCGTGCAAGACGAACATCCAGTTCCTGCATTCTGGGCTTAGCATCGCAAAGTCACATCGGGCGCCACACACTGGACTTGCCCATGCAGGAAACGAACAGCGCAACACAATGGCACATCTGGCGACTCAACTTCCTCTGAGACCCGAATAAACTCTTCTGGGCTCAGTCGTTTCAACGTAAGTTGACATGAGGTGTTGGCGCAAAGTTTAGTCCCAGTGCGCTATACTAGTCTAGGGAATGATGTGGGCAAGCATGCAACTGCGCATGTTCTTAGACACCAACGTGAATATGGGGCCATAAACTTGACTTCCAAGATTGCTCACCTTTTGCTGGCCAGAGGTCGGTTTTCGGACAGGGCCAAAATTGATATCCTCGTATAATTTCGTGTTACAATTATCTCCCACTACTGAATCCTTGAGTTAGTAGCATCACCGTATTTATTCGTATAGTTTTGTCGTACTAAATCGCATAAATTAGCCAAGTCTTTCCTGTGCAGCTTCCGCTAACGCCCCACTCTGGCGTTCGTTCATGCCCCATGCTTCCTCCGCAAGAGGCCCACATCCCTCCTCTCTCAAACTCCAGATTTTCGGGCCGGGTCGCAGCCTGTCTATCCCCTCAACAACTTGACCAGCAGCTCATGCGCGCACCACTCTGTGCACCAGCCACTACTTGGCACAACGGCATCCGTTCTGAGCCAAGCCGACATCTCATTACTGCTCTCCAGTCCTTCGTGTTTTCGGCGTGACCTGAGCCTCAGACCCAAACTGCTCAATAAACCAGCCATTTCTCAGCACAATCGAGCATATAATACACCCTTCGACAAGCTGAGCCAACAGAATACTCAATAAAACATCCAATAACGTATTCACCAAGCCAGAACACTCTCGCGTTGAGTCCGCCCTTTCGCTTCTCTGTTCGTGGACTTACGGATCCACTGGTTGAGCGCGGCAACAACCGCACCCTCAGGCCACTCCCGTGGTGAGCAGAGCATCCTAAGCATGCCGCGGTTGGCTTTGACCCGCATTGCATCGCAGGCGCGGGGTGAAATGCTTTGTCAGCTTCGGACAGGCGAAGTCAAGGCGTTTTAATTTACAGACGACAGGGCCCCCCTCGCGCTCAATTGCCGGTGTTCCTGTACGCTGGCACAGCATGATGGGCCCTGATTTCGCTCAACCACACAGCGGACACGGCCGCCATTCCCGCCTCAGCCCAGCATCCGTAAGCGCTGTGCCACCTGGTCCCACGGGTCCTTGATACCGAATCCTAAGGCGACCCACGAGGCAAGGGGGCTCCCAATCCTGAGACGGCTCCTGAATCATGCAGATGGCAGAGGGCCGCGGCAGGTCATGCGTGGGGCGCCCGATGCGTGACGGGCTTTTTTTTCTTCCCGTTCCACATGGACAGCGACGCGACAGCTGAAGGATGGGCCGCCCGCCGCACGGCAGGTCCTTTCCCACTGACAAGTGCACAAGCTCGGGCAGTCGAACGGCACATGAAGAAAGGATTTGACATTCTCGTCGCATCAAACGGTTTTGGTATAATGCTGTCACAGCATTCCTTGGCCGTGCGGCGGGTGTCACGCGGCCCGCCCCATGGCCTCTGCTCCGCCAGCGGCCCGCCTGCGCTCGGCGAGTATGGCGTCGGCCAGGCGAGACACCTCCTCGTTGCTGTCCGCACGGCCCATGAGAGTGACGCTCATGTCTGTCGTCAGCACGCGCAGGCGCAGGGCGTCCCCCTCAAGGCCGCGCAGGCGAAGCACCTGGTCCCGCGTGACAGCGAGGTAGATGGGCAGCTGCCTGGCGTCGCCCTTCAGCCGACCTGGAGCACAGCACGAGCCACACAGTCATTCTTTCTATCTTGTTTCCGGAAAAAAAACTGGAGGCAAGGAAGCAAAAGACCCAAAGCGCGTATGGGAGACAATGAAGCAAGAGGCGAAACGCAAAATGCAATGAACAACGGGATCCCGTTGTTTGTTGCATTTTGCGTTCTGTCTTTTGCTTCACTGTCTGCTGTGCTGATTGTATTGCCATTTTTTGTTGCTTACTTACAATTCACTTTTCCTGTTTACAACTTTGTCTCTTTGTTGCTTATATTAGTGCAAACATATAATCAGAAGAGACTCTCGTCTTATCTGTTTAAATTCTCTCCTGTGGGCAAAGGGCCACCGGCAAATAGATAGCAACTTAATTCACGGTATTGTAGTTGGGTTTCCTTTTGGCCTAATATAATCAACATTATGTCTTGTAGCACTCTGCCGGAAGTGGTGCAGAGAGTATGCACGTAGGAGTCAGTGCGACATGGACAATTTCCCGCCTTGACAGAGCTATACTTCAATTATTCACTTATAAAATTGGCAGATTGATGAACTGCTGAATGGAATTACTTCCACTGTGTTCAGTACGTTGAGGGGGTCAAATACATCCATCCAAGGCCAGCCAATGAACCAGCCCAGATCACGCCCGCACAGATCTCCAACAACGGCCAGTCCAGCACACCACATGACGTCATGATACACCTACGAATCGACACCCCTTTGCGCTCCACGCAGAGACAACACAAAATCAAGTCATGCGTGAAATCATCAACTCATTACCATACATGTCAACCATGACATTCCTGTACTGTAGTACATTCAACCCTTCTGCATAATAACGTTACGCCTGGCATCTGTTTGGCGGAGAAAAGTCAATAAATAGTAATGCAAACTTAATTTTGGCCTTTTATTGTGAAGCAACGTACAAATATAAAACTAACGCTCTGAAAAAAAATGCGGATCAAAAAGCATAACGTCAAAATTTCCCGATGCGGAGAGGTTGAATATTTTACAGTACAGGCGCGTCCGGTCCCTCAGCTCTTGTTAGGTTCGCCCACCTATGTCAACTTGTATGAGGGCGCGGTCAGAAAACGGGCCCGAGGCGGCCCCGAAGACAGCAGAGAAGCATCCAAAGGTAAGGTTGACGGCTCCTTGGACGAACAACTGTAACCGCAACCATGGACGCAGTCCAACAGTGAGAAACCCTCGCTTTGCAAATGTTTTGGGCGCGTGCAAAATGTACTGACTTGCTGCTGGACATCGCGCGTCAGCAATCCATCATGAGGTGGCAGAGATCGAACAGTGCAATTATGGCCCCGTTTTCGGTGCCATCTTTCACCTAGGGCTTTCAACAGCCTGCACGCTTTGGATGCTGCTGTGCACGCCGTGTGGCGTACGGCACCAAAGACTCAAAACGACAGGCCCTCCCCGCGTTCTGCAGGTAAGAGCGGCAGCATGAAGACGCTCGTCACATGTTGAAACCGTCGCTGCCTACCGTCGCTGCACACAGCAGAATTGAAGCACAGGCACGTCCAACTCATTATGCACTTGTTAGCACCCGTCAAGGTGCAAACATTGCCGAAAGTGCGCTCCCTTTGGCAGTTCCCATACCGTCACCCCAAACCCAAACTACCAAAAGAACTGCATCTCAAGTGTCAATGAATTCTTAAGCATCAAAACACGGCAATACGATATCAGTAAACAGGTCACAACGGTAACACTATTGGGCGGAATGGTACCAAAGTGATGGGACCGCCCTCTTCCTTGCCCCGGGCCACGTGTTTCTGTACAACAGTGGGACAACCAACTGGAAGTATCCAGATCGCTCCCTGGTCAAGACACCCTCATTCGCCATCCGCACTGACAAGAAAGAGAAATGAAAAAACAATGACACTCACCTCCCTCAGGGACATCGCGGTGTCCCTCAAGGCAACAGCCCTCTCCACGCCCTCACTGGCCGCCCCATTGGCCCCCTCAGCCCCGCCCTCTCGCCTTCGAGCCTCCTCCTTCTCTTTCTCGAGCGTCGCAGCGACGTTTGCGGCCTCCCGCAGGCCCGTCATGTATGCGCCGTGCATTGTGGCTGGGTATTTGTGCGTGGTGGCCTCGCCCGCCCAGAACAAGCGGCCGCCGATGCTCTCCGCCATGATGTCATAGTCCTCGCGGCCGTTGGAGCCAACGGCCACGCTGGAGTAGGAGCCAAAGGTCAGGTCGTCGCGGCCCCAGCGCGTGCAAACGGCCTGGAAAGCGTTTTGAATGCACATTTTTAAGTCTACAATGCGCCAAAAAAAAGAAGAAAAGAAAAAAAAATCACAGTAGCGTCCAAACAAAGGGTCAATGCGCCGTCTGGCGGTCACATGCTGTGGGGCCACGGCCGCCAGCCCTAAATGAGAGAAATCACACATGCCAGTCCTCATAGGGACTCTTGGCTGCCCACAATGGGACGGCTTGTCACAATCGCCCCCCGGGGCTAAAAGCGCAATTGTCCAAAATACTCGCATCATGGAAACTCGGTGGGCCTTGAACCAAGAGAACGTTAAAACGTGTAGTGAGAGCACTCAAATATGCGGATCCCAAGCGTATTGCCACAACTCGTCACATTGTTCTCATAAGCACACCACTTCCTCCATCAAGTGGTCGAGTTTGCCCTTCCCATCTTTAGTCATCCTAGAGTATGCCTGTCGTGTAAGCAAAGTCCCTCAGCATTCTCTACGACTGGTCCAGCTGTGGCTTAGTTGTCCCCAAAAGGAATCACCACACACCTCATAATTGCCCCAAAGTCCTTAAAATACCCTAAGGCGCATCTGCATCATGTGAGGGTTGAGGATGTGAGGGTCTTGGAACTACATTGGGTGAGCCCTCGCAAAGCCACGAGTCCCTTTCATGTATCGATCGTCCTAGCCATTGTCCCAGCCATCAAAGGGTAGTGTGGCCGCCATCCAGTACTCCTCTATCCTCAATATTGAGGGAAGTCCTCTCAATCGTCCAGCGCACTTAAGGCAGGGGGTTGGGGGTGGGGTGGGGGATTCAAACTTGCCAAATTGACCTCCAGATGACCAAGGAACTTCAAAATGAATGCTACATTAACAGTGTCGCGCATGGCGTTTTTGTGTCAACATAACATGGCAGTACTGAAAGCGTTGATCATGCACTAAAAGACAAGACACGTATAAACCATAACTTTGCTTCAGAGCCCACGCCCACAAGTGACGCTGGGGGCCACATCAAGGGACAGTGTGGAGTGCACACCCAAGAGCCAAGGTGTCGCCATCTAGGAAGAGGAGAGGGATAAGCAGCATGCTGGAATAGCAACAGCAAGCATCTGTCATTCTGTACAAGATACTGGTGCTGCATCGCTACGGCACGTGCAGCATTTACAGGATATGCAGGCACGGAGTTAACGGCTTCTTCTTGACAGGATGGCATCCGCCACAACTGAATATCGAGGCGAATTCTGCATGCACACTGACAAATTGTTTCCATCACAGAATCCTCGATCCTGAACAGGGACTCGTGACATGCTGCAGCGTCTCTTTGCGCAACCCTGAGCGACAGACACATGCTGCAGCGTGTCTACATGTTGCTACTGTTGCAAGCATTTGTTTAAAGTATCCATGTGTGATAATGCACCAGAGACACTTGTTCCAAGTTTCTGTATGCAATACCAAACCATTGACAACTGTTCAGCTTCTCCATGCACACGATTGCAGCCCACAGACGCTTTTTGAGCACAAACGCCATCCACAGACAGGATTGGAAACAGTTTGTATTGTATATTACTATATATTTCTTTTAATGGGGCTGTACCTTAAGCCCATGATCTTCAGCTGGCGCTGTGCACCAGGGTCCATTGGGGAACCCTAGTCTCAGGGCTGAAGGCAGCCGTGAAGAGCACAAACAGGGTATCTTGAAAGGGGTTTAACAGCACTCAAGCAGATACGCAAATAAAAAATGCTCATCAACCTTGTCGGCCAAAATCTTGTGGCATTCCCAAAATTTGCCACACAGCCCATCCCTCCCCATGTTTTCTGCACAGACATACTCCTAAGTCAAATTCACCACCACTCAGCAGCAGAGCCATTTTCCTGGTACCGATTTCCCCTCCCTTTGCTTGATATAATGTCTTCCCTAAGTTCCAACCCTCATAGCACTCTCACATGGCACCACCCACACCACCACACCTTCAGCGGCTGTCGATTCTAATGTCCAAAAGTAGATGTACGGAAGAAGGGGCATCAGGTCCGTTGGTGAACAGATTCTGACATTTGCTCCTTCGCCAAGGATATACACAAGGTGGCAGAATGCAAGGACGCTCAGGTTTGTACATGTGTGCATTTTGCAGCAGGAGTTCCAAGTGCAACCATACATGTCACATGAGCCCAATGCCTGTACGTGCATTGTAGTGAGCCCTCCAAACATAACCACGCCAGTCACACATATCTGAGGGCATGTGTGCCCATTTCCATAATATTCTGGACATAGCTACACACACATCAAATGAACGCTGTAATATATTCAACTCTTCCGCATAGTAGCGTAATGCTTGGCCTTATTTTGCGGATAAAACAATAAAATAAATAACACTCTGAAAAAATGCAGAAAAAGCGTAATGGCAAAATTGTTTGATGCAGAAGGGTTGAATACACTACAGCACACTAGTAAGAAGTAGGCCAAATGACACAGTCCTGACACGGTCTGCTCAAAATCCAATTGTGTACCTTCGGCACATGTGGTTCCAAAACTGCACAGTTAGTACATCATTGACACAGTTTTAACCGTGTATCCTAGGAAACCGTGTAGTCTACACAGTTGTTTGAGGGTAACGGTTGAAATTGTGTCAATGTTGGTACTAATTGTGTTGTTTTGGGACCACATTTGCCAAAAGTATATAGTTGGATTTTGAACAGACCATGTCAGGACTGTGTCATCTGACCTGTTTTTCCCAAGTGGTAACATAGATTCATGCCCATTCCCAGTTCGCACGTCCCTCCATGCCCTGTACACACAGCCGAGATTTTCCTGACAGGACCATGGCATGACCTGCACTTGTCAGCCACATGCATTCCCAAATCCTGTGCCTAATCCTCCCTGTTTTCCCAGAACACCTTAGGTACTGATCTTGCTGGGGAAGAGGCCAGTTGGGATGAATCTTGTCACCCACATGAGATAGTTTCTTCAACAACCCTGACTACCTGTTTTTGGCACCCTTCCCAGACTGCACCTCTGAGGTCTGCTCATCATGGCCAATACATAGCAGGCTTCTCTTTCTTTTCTATATACCATGCAACAATGGCAAGAGCCACCATGACCATCCCATGTGCATTGTGCAGTACAATTCAGCAAAGACACATCGTCCACCTTTGGTACAAGTGACCCACCCAGCAAAATGGTGGGCATTATAAGCACTATGAACGGTAGAAAATATGACATGATTTTGATCAATGTGGGCCAAAACAACAAACTGCATTTATTGTGCCAATGCAACGTACAGGCGGGATTTCTGAGACCAGAACAGCACCAAGGTGTGTTTGTAAACTTGCGCACCACAAAACCGAAGGGGCCAGTGGCGAGGTTGAAGGAGCTCAAGCGCCACCCACAAGGTGTCCAGAGCAG